GTTCGGCCACTTGTACCATTGCTGTATCACCCCAACAGTCAGCAAACGTCTTGCATCAGCATGTAGGAGTAAGGCCTGGGTGGACAAGGAACAAGATCATAGGAAAAGAAGGAACACACCAAAGAAACTCGAATGCGTAGCCATGTAAGTACTTTCCAACATCTGCGCAAACCCCCCAAACGCCCCGACCAAACTCTCAATAATCTGAAACGTCGCCTGCGTGCTCTGACTGAACGTATTCGTCAAACTATTCGGATCATTCGAAACCCCATTGCCCATCATGCCCGGCTGGCCGTACATTCCTCCTCCGTAACCTCCCATTCCCATTCCCCCCATTCCTCCCATGCCGCCGTACATGGAGCCGTAGCCCCCGCCATACATCGAATTGCCCATGCCGCCAAACCGCGAATAGGGCGAGGAGTAGCCTCCTACGCCGGAGTAAGGGGAGGAGGAGTAACGGTTTTGGTTAACGGGGGAGTACGTTGAAGAATTGCGATTTACGACGGAGGCGAGGGAGGAGGGTTTGTCCGGGAGAGCGGGCGGTGAGGAGGACGAAGTTATTGGGGTTGTGGTGTGAGGATTTGCGGTCGAGGTTGAGGATGCACCGGTAGCTGTTCATTCACTACCATTAGCTCGTTGGTCCTAAAAGGTGCAGTGGTCCAGGACTGTGTAGGGCTCACCAGGACACCTACCAGCTGCGTTTGCCCTTTCCCAGGGCTTGGGCGGTGATACGGCCGCCATGATCAGGGAGACTGATTCTCTGAAAGGCTACAAAGCACCTCAAACCTTCAATCGGCGTATTCCCGCCAATTTGGCGTCCAGTCTTCGCGAGGTTATTTATCTCTTCATGTTTCGGCTGGGCGTGGAGAAAAACGACATGCGGGTGAGTGCTGCCTTGTTCTTCCGGGTGAAGGATTTGCTAGTTACGGAGAAGTACTGTATATATTGGATGGATTGCGGCCGGTTGGTATTAGAAGATTGGTGAATGTTCACAATAGATGGGCTTTGCTTTCAAGGTCTGTTTTGAAGGTGTGTAACCCCAACCCCGGCTCCAGCGTTTGGGCTTGGCGGGAGTGATAGAGTACAGTAGCCTCGGCTCGGATGACGCTGATGAATTGGGCTAAGATTACGGCTTCAAAATATTACCCCAACGGCGCAACGGCAGATCTTAGATGCTGCATTTTTGCGAGGACAAAAAGTTGAATAATATGGTCTTGGTATATTTGTGATTGCGTCTCGTCAGTGTCTTTGAGACGAGACGAGCCTGGCCTCATACTTCATCACGAAGGGATCTTGCAAATCTCTCAAAGAAGCCATGGTTCCATCTTTGAATTTGCACCACATCTGACTACGAACAGTGGGCTTTTGTACGTACGTATAAAAACCAGCTACAGAGCCAGATGCTGGGACTTGCCATACTCGTCTACCCAATCCGACACTCTATCCCGCTCCTTCTCCTTGTTCTTAACCCTCCATCTTGAACACGCTTCCCTCCTCGTTGACCCACCCATTCACCACGTCCTCATTCAGAGTCGTATCAAACGACTGGCCATCGCCCAGAACCCTGATGGCAGCGACCTCATGCTCCCCTGCGATCACCACTGCAGCCGTAATGCTTCCGCCAGTAGGGCGTCGAAACCAATCACTGCTTCCTCCGGCTGGTGCCATGTGCAATGTCGATTTGCAGCGAAAGTTCCCAGAGTCGAGAACCTCGAAGAGATCGAATTCGCCACATCCAGACGTCCAGCTGTAGAAGGTTGAGATGTCAGCGTGTTTCCTTTGAGGCATTTGACTTGAGCGACAAGATGGCGCCAGAAGATCAAGTGGGCTTCTTGCTCCAGAAGCAAGACTGGCGGCACATGTTGCGGTACGGAGAATAAATAGGTTGTGTCAAAACGAACGTACCATGAGCACTCGGCGTTGGTGCCGTACTGAGATGTCAGAGGTATGTGCGCGTTGAGAAGCCAAATGGCGGGCATGTCGCCATTGAAGGTAGTGGAATTCGTGAGAGGCATAGAGAATTCGAGGAGAAAGACCTTCTGGGCGCCCGAGAAGCCATCTAAGTCGCCCCTAAGTTAGCAGTCGGGAGAGGAGAGAAAGGCAAAGCGCGATTTACGGTATGCAACCCCTCCAGGACGCGTGAATCCACAGCCTCCGTCGTCGCAACTTTGGTCGGTCATGATGATTACTTCGGTGTCGTCTTCAATCATCGCATTCGAGAGTACTTGGGGTGAGGCGGCGCCAGATTGGCCGTCAGAGGAAGCGTAGGAAAGAGAGGCACCAAAGCTGTTGCGGTCGTCAGCATTTCTATCCCGTTTCCACATGGTCAAAAGTTCCCTGACGCTGGTCCACCAGCGCTGGTCCCAGAAACCCCATCCGTCCCGCCGAAGTGATTGAGAAACGTCAGACCCTCGACCGCACCGCTTGCTGCGTTGAGATAAGCCTGACGAGTCCAACCTTCGCCCGTTGCTGGTGCACTCGATGTACTCGAGCTTGACGTGCTTGTAGTCGTGGAAGAAGACAAGGTAGAGCTCTGATAAGTCGTATTCGTGTCTTCGGTCGTGTCAGCATCAGAAGTCGAAGCACTCGTGTCATCGATAGCTCCCAGTACAGGCGCATCGGTAGCGACACCAGGCCCAGCATAGACGTTCGTCCATGAAACAAGCTGACCATCGATAGTAGCGGATGCCAGATCACCGACAGCACGCTTCGAAAGCGGAGACTCTTCGACTCCTTTGACCTTGCCGTGGCGATCGTGAAGGTGCTGATGCCCACCGTGATGGCGCACTGCTGCGGCTGCGGCTGCATGCCGTCGATGGTGGCCCTTCGGTTCAGTGCTTCGCTTCTCGTTGGCGATAGTCGTGGGCATATAGACGGCGACTTGTTTCAGCCAAGTGGGACCGCGAATATGTAAAGAGAGCTTACGAAGACCTCTAATTAGCAAAACACCATCAAACCGTTTCAATCTCGAGGGGAACCAACCTCTTCGTTCAACGGAGACAGTGAGCCACTGTAGTTATAACGCACGCTACTGCAGTCGCCAGTATTCGCGTGCATATCTGTGATCTTTTCATAAGAACCGAAGCCCGGGAAACTCGCGTATGTGACGGCGGTCACCTCGGAGCAATACCAATTGCCGTTGATCTCCTGGGCCGTACCAGCCGCGCATTGGGCGGTGACCCCATCGAAGAGAAGAAGTGAGGGGATAACAACCGTTAGAAAGGTACGCATATTGCTTGAGGGTGATATCTTTAATGGATAACAAGTGAGTGTGACGGGGCCTGACGCTATCGTAACGACTGTGATGGGATGTATTTTGGGGATCGAGATCTGGGCTTCACTTGGGTGCTATCTCTCTGTTGACGCGGCCTCCGGGTACCTGCAGTCCTGGGTCTGACCTAACCTGTTCGGTTAACACATTTCATGCTCAACCGTACCCTTGAAACGGCAATGGTAGGTAAGCAGCCCAATAGACTGTCTAGATCAATGACGCACACACCCCGAGTAGGGCACTGCAGTATCAATGGCGTTGAAGGAGTGTCACAATCGTGTCCAACGGTCTCTTGCCACATGAGTAGTTCAAATCACAAGGGCCAAATGCGAACTTCCTTCATCAAAAGTAAGAGGATCGAGCAAAAGTCATGCATGCGTGGAGGGGGGAAGAAAGCAGGCGCAATATCAAAACTCGTTGACCGTCACACACAGCTCAGGTTTTTCCCATTCTCGCACACTGTTATGGCTCTTCACCAGAACAAGTCGGCTATTCCATACTTGAAATTCCCCAAAAGAATAATAATCTTCGACGTAGGAAACCCAGCCAGCTTCCCTTTCCTACCCACATCGATAATATTGAGACCAGATCTCTCCCATTCTCACACACTGTGATGCCTCTTCACCAAAAGAATAAAGTAAAAAACCAGCCACTTCTATCTATAAAACCATTCTCCCGCACACCGTGATGCCTCTTCACCAAAACCAATCCGACTGTTCCATCTACCTCGAAATATCCCCAAAAGAACAACCCACAGCTCCCCCCTCCCCTTCCCCTCCCTCCCTTCCCCCTCCACCACCCAAACCAACACCATCCATCCATCCATCCATCCCTCCCCCTCCCCCCCCCCTCCCCACCCCCACCCCACCCCATCCCTAGCACCACCAACCACCCACCACCTCTCCAGGCCCAAAAACCTCATCGGGACCGAAATCCCCTCCACCCCTCCTCCCCCTCCAACCCCCTTCCCCGCATCCACACCTCCGGCACCACTCCGCGCGCCCCTACACACCCCGGGTCGCAGAGTCTCGACGCGCGGGTCCTGGTAGAGGGGGTTTTTTACGACGGAGAGAGAGAGGGATGTGCCAGCGGCAGGCACCACGGTGCGATAGTCACTCTCCCATCGTTTGCGGGGGGGGGGAAACCAAAGCCGCCGGAGCTGGGACGTTGTGGGCGGGGGAGTGGGGATTACGGGAGCTTGGAAAAATCCGAGATGGAAACAACAGAGGAGAGGAAGATAACGATAACGTTGGAGAGTGGGGAGTATGGTGGATCGAAAGGAGGGTGGTGGTGGTGGAGGAGGAGGATGTGGAGGTTGGATGGGAGGGAGCCTGGGAAGGTGGCACATTGAGGGGAAGGAGGATTCGGGTATGGTGCCCACGGTTAGCGGAATAGGAGGAGGAAGATAGCTCAGACAGCACGCGCACAGACTCCGGAACCCCCGTCTTGGAGCCTTGTACGGGACGCGGTGTGGGTGGTCGGTCTGGAAACGCGGACGGCTGGGCTGACTGTAGGGGAGTGGGAAGGGCGGGCGAGCTGTCGGGAAGGATGGCAGCTTCGGGCGAGCACGGTGAGGGAGGACCGCGATAGGGAAGGGGGGATTGGAGGAGGAGGAGGAGGGGGGGAGGGGGTGCGGTGGTTTTGCGGAGCTTGTCATGCTGGTGCTTGGTTGGGTTGAAGGCTTAGAATGGGTGTTGAATGATCGTTGTCGGCGATCGAAATCGCTGGTCTGGTTGGCAGCGACGTGCCCTGTTGTGTAGTCCGAGACGTCGGTCGTCAAGCTCGCATCCATCTTCTATTGAAGGCCTCGCTCGGGGGTAGATGTCACGGTGCATGGGGGCTTCGACGGGTCACAGCACTATACATTATTGCGCGTAAGATGTAAATGATATTTTAGACATACGCACCAAACCACCGGCTAAACGGACATGACACAAGAGTTACGCCAGCGCACCACTCGGACCCCAGAGTTTGGTCATTGACATTTGAAAGGTTATGCCAGATATCCGCTTAGTTACCGCTGGAGAGATTGCAATATAACCAGTCAAAGGTATACATGGGTATAAATGGCTCGCAGTATATCTCTGGAAGGGCCCTGCAAGGGTACTCGAAGCAAAATACATGCAATGCTGCCCCAGACCAGATGAAGTCTGTGGGTTGGTGGTCAGCGAGAGCACTTCAGTAGCTGCAACATTCATGTGACTTACGTTATATGGAATTTTCGTACTCTGAAGCTTAGCCCACGCTAACTTTGACATGCATAGATCCCGCGGGCGGGTTGGTATTGCATCCTGTGTCCTCTTGACCGGGCTTGTAGAAACCGCACCCGTTAGAATCACTGACGTCAAATCCATCGACGGTCACACTGATTCCACCGCTGTTGACATAGTTGTTCGCTTCGACGGAATAGTCGTAGCCGCTCCAGGCCCCGTTGTTGGTGTCCGAGAAATCGGCCTCGCCCCAAGGGCAATTGAACTGACCGTTTTCGTTCCTGTCGCAGACCTGAGAGAATGAAACCTGACTATTAGCGGCGACGCCGATGACAGCATTTTCGTTGGCCGCAAGATCGAAGAGGAACCAGGCGTTGCGGCTCGCGCCGGTCATAGTCCGACCGGCAGTCTGCCAGTCATCTCCAACTTTGTTCCACAAAGCGATAGTGACTGGGCTCTTGGCAGCGAAGGTGATAGAGTAATCATGGCCGTCGGTATTGCAATCGCTTAAGGGTAGCAAGTTCTGACCATATGGCTCGCCAACATTGCCTCGGTATGCGTCCCCACTGTTTGCTGATAATGTAGCGGCGCCATAGGTGCTGTATTTTGTGCTATCGGCTGACGTGCACCCACCAGGGCATTTGCTGCCGTCTCCCATGTAGACTGCATTAGATCGGCTTGTGTCGCCCTTTGTCCAGACGCTGCTGAGGTCGTTGCAGATGCCAGAACCAGAACCGGAACCGGAGCCGGAGCTGGAAGCTGAACTAGTGGATGCCGGGGGGCTTGAAGCGGGTGTACTGGGCGATGTAGAACCGCCCGTAGTCCCTGACCCCGTTTCGGGTACGCTGGCTGGTGCTGGATTTGCTGGGGCTGGGTTTGCTGGAGCTGGGACTGCTGGGGCTGGATTTGCTGGGGCCGGGCTGGAAGACTTGCTGCTGGGATCGCATTTGCCTCCGGCGCATATGGACGCCCAATCAAGATCTTGAAAGGTTCCGGGGGCATAGGTGGCCGGGTCGCTGAAGTCTGTACGCTTCTGGTGAAGCAGGTCAGCAAGGTCTCGCCTGTGCTTATGTAGTTGATGGTGCGTCGGGTGAGCAAGGGCGCATTCGAGGCTCAGGGCCGCCAGGACCAAAGCCTGGTATGAAAGTTGCATTGCGATGTATAATTGCTAAGTATTGCGGAAGCTATGTGTGGGTAATGATGACGCTGATGATAGATAGGTTTGCTAGATGCGAAGATTGAGTGGAAGTGAGTCTGAAAGGAGTGTTGTCAGCGATAAGGTGTTTGGTAAATGAGTGTTAACGTTAAGAGTAGCAAAGCCTCGGAAGCAACGTGAACAATTGAAGAGACTGGACAGTACTTGAGGAGTACAATAGAGAGCTGAGGCAGAGTGAATTCAAGGCTATGGCGGAGTGAATGTGTGTAAGTAGGATCAGGCAGTTCGAATTCTACATTGGTTGGGCAAGGGACAAAGGCCGAGACTCGAAGTGAATGGAACAGTCATGCTCCTTTGGCTGTCCGACAATGCGAAGCAAGCACACGTGGCTGAGGGTGGCGGTATTGATAACAATGAAACGGGGTGCGTTTAGGTCGTACCTGCTATTGAACCTGGGGCCAGCGCGTTCTAGAAGCGATATGTTTGGATGTTTAAGGAGTGAATGGGACTGTAAAAGAGTGTTGGTTTCGAGGAAAGAAGCAGAGATCAAGAAATGAGTGACTTGATTTCTGTTCCAAGATAGTAAAGAAAGGCAATGAAGTAAGAACGACAGAGAAGACAGCGGCGACGACGAGGTGAGACGTGTGGGGGGGGAGGCAGGCAGGAAAACGAATCCAGGGGTAGGGGTAGCTAATTTCGCTAAGGGGCTTGGCGCTAGGATTCCATGCGGCCTTTAAGTCTCTTAACACAAGCGAATGCCCCTTTCTCCAATCGCCAGTTTTATGTCGTGCGTGATTGTGTTTGGCAGTGCGCCGGAAACGTCAAGATGATTCGTTGTCCTTCTTTTGGGCTGGAGACCAAGGTCGATGATTGCCGATGGCGATGAATGCCTCCAATGACTTCTCTCCTCCCCCGTACCTGGCAGCCCTGATCGGAATGTAAATAATAAACATCTTGTATCTGGTATGAGCGCAACGCGATGAAACCAAAACACTGCACACCTATTCAGAGACCCTGACTTCTGTTATTCTTCTTTTTGTCAGAACATCACCATCTTACCTTGCCGTGCTCCGTGGTGACGGTAAATGATGCAAATCTTGGACATGTTCGGGGCTGTCGCAATCTCGCATTCAAGACGCTGACATGCAGCAAGAAGGCATCGTCGCATTGCCAATGATATGCTCGGTACTCCTCCTTCATCGTACAACATATGCTCCACTATTAGACGCGTGACAATTCTCTTGCATACTTGTCTGGCAGATGGGAAGTGTTGGATAAAAGTCCACAAAAGAAAAGCTGACCTGGTTTCTATACTTATCTAGCCGCCTTCGATGGCGTTGGTGTTGCTTTTCGTGGCTCATGCCACCGGCAAAGCCTTCTGTCCCAGTGGCCAAGAACATTTTTCGTGCGACGAAACAGAACGAAGGAAACGGAGGCATGCTTCTCTTATATAGCACGGAAATATTAAGGGATTTGATAATCAATACCCTTCAGCTGAGGGTTGGTCTGTTGGGTTGTTGGCTGTACACCGATTCACCCAGCTTACGGTTAGGCCGAATGCTCCAGCTTGATGGAGCCACGAAGGATTCCAACGGGTCCCTTCAGGAAAATCTACGTCGTGATTCGACAACAGACACTTTCCTCGTATTGAACGCGCGCTTATCTCGTGTTGGATATGATCTTCTCCGTATTCTTACCCATGGGCCATAGCTTTGCACACTTTCCCTTCCTGGATCAGCAGGCCGTTGACAGGCCACAGAATTCACCGGAAGTTGGGTTCTGATGCCATGATACTAGAACTATATTACACATAACTGATACTATAATCTATGTTCAAAAATTTCAAGGGAGTGAAGTCGTGAAATATCTCCAGCATCCAAGCAGGATTTGGAATGCACGCTCATCGCAGATGCTTGTCCTCGCCAGCTATGCTCATCATACACTGAACGTCTTCGGCCAGTTTAGACGTTGTTGTCGCCGTTTGTCTTCTCCGCATCCGTGATTTGAGTCGTCGCTGTCCCCGTCGCACCAGTAAAATCCCCACTCTTCCTGCCGTTCATACCAGACGCCCTTTTGCTAGCCTTCTTGCTCTCAGCTTCCTGTTTCCTCTCCATCCGATTGTGTTCTTCCGCCGCTAAGCCCGTTTTTGTCACTTCATGCGTCCTGCTCAACGTCTTCTTCTTGATGAATAGACTCAGGGCCAGCCCAACTACTGCAACGCAAACGTAGAAGATCCACATCTCTCGTAGACTTGCCACATAGGTGGCTCTCACTGTATGTCTACCTGGCTCTGGGAGACTCTTCACGACTGATGTAGCGGCACCTGCGCCACCACCACCGAGTGCAGAGCCGATTTGCTGGTTCGTAGCTGCGATTAGGGTCGATTCGCGCTTTTTCATTGCGTTTTGGAAGATGACGCCGCCAATGACGACGGAGATGGAGGTACTGAGATTGCGAATGAAACCAAAAGTCGCTGTGGCAGTTGCGATATCCCTCGGAGGCACAAGGGTTTGTAGGGCTATAAGAGGTGCCTGAAAGTTTGGTCCCACACCAATACCGGCTATTATTTGGAAGGGAAAGATGCGACCCCAAGTACGACCGACAGGGAGGTCGATGTAGAGACCGAAGCCAACAGTCATGAAGAACAGTCCGAGCCAGATAGGCGGGAGGTAGTGCCCTGTCTTCTTGATGAAGATGCCGACGAAGGCGGAGGTGAAGGAGAGAGAGATCACGAAGGGGAAAAGGTAGACTCCGCTAAGAATGGGGTTGGCGCCGAGGACGGCCTGAAAGTAGAGAGGGAAAAAATAGGCGCCGGAAATGAATACCATGCCGTGAACGAAGCAGACCCCTAGCGCAGCGAGGTTGGAAAGTTTGGAGAAGAGGTGGAGTGGCATCATGGGGTATTTGGCCACTTTCCATTCGTTGATGAAGAAGAGAACAATGGTGACGACGCCAAATACCAGTAGGCAGACGACTGTGGCGGAGGACCAGGGAAAGGATACACCGCCATATTCGAGGCCAAGGAGGAACATGACAGTGCCGCCGGTTACGAGTATGACACCGAGCCAGTCAATGGCTTTCAAGCCGTCTAGGATGGGTGTTTTTGGTGTTTCAATGTCGAGGAAGATGACAATGATGGCGAAGGCAATACCATCAAAGGGAACTGAGGAGACATTAGCGGGATCCGAGCCCAGAGATGGAAGGCAGATGGAGACATACGGTTGATGTAGAAACACCAGCGCCACGAGACTTTCTCTGTGAAGATACCTCCGAGTATTGGACCGACAGCACTTGCAATGCCCCAAACGGCCCCAATCATCCCAAAATATTTGCCACGATCTCTGTGAAATTGATTAACCTCAGCATCCGTGACCTAGGGGAAAATGGATTATACCTCATGCTGAACAAGTCGCTTATGCAAATATTAGCTAAAATGATCAAGCCTCCACCTCCTGTTCCTTGAATGACTCGACCCGCAAGGAGCATCTGGACATTGATACTCAAAGCCGATATGAGAGAGCCAACGAAAAAAACAGCGTTGGCCACCAATATGATTGGCTTGCGACCCCAGATATCACTGATCTTCCCCCATGTAGGCGTCGCTGCTGCCGCTGCCAGAAGGTAGGCTGATCCTATCCATGTGTAATCGGCTTCCGAAGAGTGGAAATGTGCGGTGATCGTCGGGACGGCAGTTGTGATGATAGTCTTGGTAGATGTCAGTGGAAACAAGAGTGGACGATATGCGCGAGTCTCACGGTATCTAGAGCAGCAAGAAACACAGCGATCTGAACCCTTAATTAGCAATGCTCGCATTCGAACTTCCCAAACTCAGTTTCCCTCACCATGAGCGATCCCATAATCAACGCAACCTTCCCTTTGCTCCGCTCCGGTGCTTGCGGTGGTATTGGTGGCTTCTCTTCTACCGCTGCATCCTCCTTCGCCTCCATGACTTCATCTGATCCATTCGAGGGTCTCTCAACCGACCCATTGGGAGCAGTTTCTGATAATGGATCACCAACGCTTTCTTTATCATCGGCTCCCACTCCTGCCACGGCGACATCTTCGAGGCGCTCAGCCTGAGAGGGTTCTTCAACTGTTGATGACATGACAAATGAAGGTATTGAAGGTATCACAGTTTGATTGTGACCGAAAAGTGGCGCGCAGTCTCCGAGTGCACAGAGTGGCCCTTTGTGTCCTGAGGGAGCTGTGACTCACGATGCATGTGAGAGCGATGTCGGAAGGGTAACGACAACATTGGAGGCAAAAAAGGGACAATGAGCAAAAATGTTTGCGCCTCGGCATTTACTAAACCCGAAGATTCCATCAGCCGATACGGGTCATCGATCTTACTTTATTTGGCGGATCTCAAAAGCTTGTCTGATTGCTTGATATCGCTAGCGTAACAACAACAAACACCAAAAGTACATGTAGAAATGTCATTATGTCAAACGATAAAGTATTTTACATACATGCTCTGTAATTAGATAATCATTTTTGGAAGTGAAATTCTGCCAGAGGTTTCGGGAGAGAGAGTCTTGGGATGGGATGTACTACGAGTTCTTCACCTGACTATGCGGGTAAGGGATATGACACGTAAATGAACACCAACTTGTCACTATGTAAGATCTCGATATTGACACAGTGAAGGGGCTCCTTTCGAAGCCGAGTGTACAAGGTAACTGGCTAGCTGTGTACGAAGAAGACAAGAATGCATGCTCAATCAGAAATCGCTAAAGCGAGCGTGAAGATATCTGGGTATCCGACCATTCGATCCATAAGGTCATACAGAAACATGGCGGTACATGCAACTCCTTATCGTACCCAAACAGTCTTTTCAGCACGACTCCCGCAAGAATGGTAATTTTGAGTCACGTTTTGACCCTTTTGGCCGCTTCCTGGCCCTCCTGGTCTGGGCTCTTCCTCTTCCGGTCTCCATCCTCGTCCCTAAAACTTGATCCACCCATCACCGGTGTTTGGAGGTTTAGGGGGCTCGGGAGAAGGTTGCTGTCGCCTCCCGAACGGCCAAAATTCCATTCTGGGTAGAAGGATGATGGCGAGGGGAGTAAGCCGTCAGCGACAAATCGTGATGGCAATGCTGATATGGGGGTTTCAATGCTGTTGTTGTTACTGCTGTAGGATTGACCTTGCGAAGGCCCTCCTGGCGGATGCGGCCGAGCAAATGGATTCGGGGGACCAGATGCGCCTGCGCTCAGTATAGCGCTCGCACTTGGCGATGGAGGTGGTAAGACAACACCGGTACCGGAAGAATGACTTGCTTCAGTGCTCTTCGCTGGTGTATCACTAGTGGTAACTGCGGACTGACGGGGTGAAGAAGCAGTAGCACTGTCGGCATCTGATTGCTCCTCAGGTATTTGGACCTTGAGCCTCGGTCTCTTCGCGTTCGATTGGGCGGTGCTTGATCGCGATGGGGGGAGGGAATTCTATCGAGTTTGTTCTCTTAGGAACTGGAGCCTCTCTCTGCAACCTTGACGAAGGTGTAGGCTTTGAGGCTTGGTTTCGTGCATCTGAGTGTGGGTCGTTTTCGCGCTTTATGTCCGACTTGGGTTCAATGGTACTTTTGCCAATACCCCAATGCTGAGCCAACAGTGATCGACTATCGTCAATGGGGGTGAAAATGCTTCGGGATTTGGCTGGCTGGGGCTGTTGGAGGCGGTTCGATTGATCATCTTGAGACGGCTCGCGTTCGGGTTGTGGTGGGGAGGGCATGTGCTGTTGCTGCTGCTGTTGGCGCTCGTGCTGGGGGAATGCAGGCGGTAATGACTGTCTTCTTTGCTCTTGCAAGTACGCCTGCTGCACTTGAGCATGTGGTGCAGCTGCTTGTTGGAGTTGACCGTAATACTGGGCTTGTTGGGCTTGCTGTTGAGGGTGATGGGGTGCGACTGGCATGCCTTGAGCCGCTTGAGTGTTGTACATTGATGGAGGCTGTCGCGTGTAGGCATAGCCATTGGCAGCTTGGGGGGCTTGGCTGACTTGCTGGAGATGGGAGGGACCTGGACCAACGCTTCCACTCATACGGCGTACATTGGGTATGCTGTTTCTCGATCCCGGTCGCGAAATCATTTGAGCCTGAGGGGTATGCTGTCTTTGGTATGGGACGCCATTTGGGACAACTTGGATAGGAGGAGATGCGTTTCTCATGTAGCTCGTTGCGTTTTGTAGATGTGGAGGAAGACTGTGCTCTCGTGGCATTGGATCTTCTAGCGGCGGTGTGCCCATCTCATCATCGTCCTCATCGTCCATACCCCCTCCGTTGAAGTCTCCAGGGCCCTTGTGTTCATGTGCGCCACCATACTGTCAGGGTCGTTAGCCTCGAGACCAAGACCAAAGTGTTGGCACTTACGAAGTGAAATCGATCGATTGTCTCATTTATGTCGCCGGATGAGTATTCGTATAGTTTCTTGTTGTGACCAAAGATAATGACAGCGACATCGACGGAGCAGAGGACTGAGAGCTCGTGGGCCTTCTTGAACAGGCCGCCTTTGCGCTTGAGGAAAGTACTGAAAGGGACAGTTAGCAAATGTATTTACTGGCACGCTGATCGATCTAGCTTTGAGGTTGCATGCATGTGAAAAAGCAAACGGGGTGTAGGGTGTAGCAGGCAAGCTGCCGGAAAGGGTGAGTGTCTTGTGCACTCGTAGGTACCAAGCCAAGAAAACCTGTCAATCGACGTGTAGAAATAGAGGGACGAGAGTGTCTTGTGGACCATGATCCTCGATATTGGGGCTCATGTCGTCAACATTCAGGCGATTTCTAACACTGCAACTGCTACATTTTCTGGTGGCGCGTGTGGTAGCTTCTTGATGAAGCTGGCCCGGTGGATTGCGCAGCGCACAGTAGTAAGGGGTTATTGACTTACACAGATCGATTTCTGTCGTCCTTGATCGCCTTAATCTCGATCTTCCGTCTCCCCATAGCGGTTGTGGTAATTAAGACAGTAGTGGGTGGTGGGGTTCGGAGGGAGAGTGATGAGAAGTAGTAGACGACTCGAGGACGTCGCAGATGAAAGAAACCTGTGTCGTGTAGAGTGGCGTGGCTGGACGGGCGACCGTTTCCGACTCAGTGGTTTGTAGAAATGATATCCTTGGTATGAATTGCGCTTTTGCAGAGCAGCGAGGATATATGATCAGAGCTCTAGATTTTGCCTAAGTTGTTTTGACTGCCTGTTCTAATAATAAAAGACAGCAGAAACGCCAGAAAGGTTGGCCTCAAAATCCACCTCTTTTACTCCGTAGTCTTCCTTGGCAATGTTTGACGCTTATCCTTTCCCATCTCAAAGACTATTAATAGCCCTGAAAACAGCCGACTGCTGGGATTCACTTCCATAATTTCACCGCCAAGGTCCAATCAGACCCCTCCTTGTGTGTGAAAAGGACGGCTAATTCACTCCTTCAGGCATAGCCTTGTTGAAGATCTCCTCTGGACAACTTCAACACAGCGCTCAAATCTATGGAACTACATATCACCATCGACAATTGTATTTGGCCCGTACTCGTACCCAGTATCGCGTATGGTCAATTCTTTGGAGAAGCTGTTACTACAGTCTCAGCGGGATGCGTCCGTGCGACTCGAGCGTAGGAGCTGGACCATTCTCCCGCCAGCTCTGCTGACCTTTCACTCTTTTCATACAGTTCCATCAGAATAACGTTGATCCCTCGAGTCACAGTAGGCAAGCTTCAAAGGCTGAACTCCGTGTCAGCTGTCTTTGCCGTGTAGCGTAGTCTCTCAAGCACGTTTGCACTCGAAATGCCGTCCACCCAACCCTGTGCTATTCGTAGAAATTGCGGCCAGTGAAGCTTCATATGTCGTCCCAAATAAGCTGCATATCTTGCACTACGGCAAGACACGATAGCTTCAGATCCACACGGACTGGAAAGAGGGGCGCTCGACGACATTGATATCTGATGCGGCTCTTTTCAAGGTTGGACCTACCAGCCCACCCATGTTCATTAGTCGCGGAAGCTAGGTATCTATTTCTAGCCACCACCTATTTTACAGTATCCTCTGAAGGATCTCGACGCCAGTTTACCGTGCTCGTCATGATCAAGGAACAACAAACGTGAGCAGACGGCGCTTGTGGATCGACAATAGATCGAGCGTCATGTCCTTGCATCAATGACATCTTGTGGCCAGAGAAATATCTTCCCAAATCCTGATCTTCAAATACGTTAGACAGTATCATGAATCCTGCGCTGTTGTCTCCTTCAAACTAAATTCCGAATTGGACGGACTGCAATCAGTACACCAAAACAGTTTCTATTCTCATACTGACGGCATGGGGCTGATGAGTTAGAAAACGGCCAAGATACGGGCTAGAATTCGTATTTCTGTATGAAACAGTTGGGTTTCTCTCTAGTACCCTGCTATGCGTCGTTGACTGGTTTGAACTACTGTAGCAGCCTTCATGCCATCTGCTCTTCCAGCTATGACCTTTGCGCATCGTGACCCTCTACACGAACTGTGAATAAGCAGTAACTCTTTCAGAGTAAACCCCTATTTGAATGATATGTGTGAGGAGTACGGAGAGGTCTTTACTCCAAAAAAAAAAAAAAACAGTTTTTCAAGGACTTGTAGCTTTTGTTTCGCGGAGGCTTTGTTCATTATTAGGTTCGGTGTCTAATGGCGCTGGTCCAATGGTGGAGGTGTGTTTAGTCTTCTGCTTTTGCTATTGGTGTCCTGTTTGGCTTTCTCCTCCTGGGCAAGGTGGCGCTTGCAGTAGCTCACTACTTTTCTCATATGACCAAGATCATATTCCTCATACCTGGATGGATCTTTCTCCGGATTTGTCTTCAAGATTTCAATAATCTTGCGGCCGCTGCCAGTTCTTGTGAGATCACATGGTCGGTCTTACACTTTTGCCCCCTCTTACCTTTCATGACCAATGGTCTCGCCAGATCCGTCCCCCTTATCCCAGCCCGCAATTTCCTATTGTTCCTCCCTCAACCATTTTTCTAGCTCTCCGGCTGTCATGTTGACAAGCATATTGCATTCCCTGATTTGCGTCAGCGCAGCATCATGGTCGGGATCGAAGACAACGCACTCAACAACAGTCTCATTATCTTTCACCATGCTGGGCTGAGAATTTAAAAATATTCGATGTGTTAATGGACTGTGCAGGATTTCGGCGTAAAATACACACAGACCAGTATCGATGCACACATCTGAGGAGATCAAGTGCTTCGACTTCAAAGAGCCAAGAAATATCGACGTGAATGACATCGCGACTTCACGGGCTCGAGAGGCAAGAGGGAACTCCATTGGCATTGGCCAGTAGCTGGGAACTAGAAGAGAAGCCCATTCGAATCAAAAGATTAATATCTAGATATAGGCTACACATGCAAATTATAAATCTCGTGAAATGGAGTGGACGAATAGCGGGCTCTTTGTTTCTCAGAGAAGTGTCATTTACGCGGGCAAGCTATAGTGCCTCCCTGGCTCTCTTAAATTGAGCTTCCCCTTTAAAGGCCAGTTATGAGTCCCCTAGACAATGTCCATCAATGGGTAACGCCCACAAAGCGCTGGGATTCGTAACCCTGGAAATCGCGGAGATCAGAATCGCTTGGCTGCAGATATTGCGGGAAGGGCCACAATGCTTAGCAAGTGGAGCAAGTCGATCGGCTTCGCTGAGTTTACTGATTTGATGACCTCAATCACATGTGTACCGTGGGATGATAGTGATTGTTTGACTTTATTCTTCAACACTAAGACTTGAGAGTGACTGAAAGCACAGACCCATGGACACCCTCGACCCCTCCCCCTGGGACGCCAAGAGAAACCCAGGTCGGTGAAACGTGTCCGGGGCCTAGCGTCCGATGGCCCTGAAACATTTGATTGGCGCGACCCAGCAGATTAACGCGTCTATGTGAGACCCTTGGCCTTTCCCCCCCAATGGTCCCCCTGAAATTTATAATTTGTAAGAAGCATCGTCATGATCATTTTCTTCAGGCTCATGAATTGCTAAAGTATGGACCTGCCATCCTACCTATCGAGACCAAGCAATGTAAGGTAAGCATGCACCGCCAGCGTGAGCACCAGACATAGACCGAGCTCCATCTACGGCAATCAGTCAGTCGATCAATCAATCAATCAATCAATCAATCACCGCGCGCCGAGCCCACAGGCCCCTCAAGCATTTCAACGGCTACTCGCCTCACTTTGGCGACTGTCTGGTGACCGCAGGCCTCCAGAAACAATTCGATCGTTGGCGCACACAAATCGTTCCTACCACATGATTCATCAGACACCATGCCCATAAGCGATACTCAAGGTCGCACATAATCCCACAGGTGTCCAAAATGGGATTATTTTCGAAGCTCCGGAGCAAGGACAAGGAGGGGGGTGGAGTGGCTGCGCCTAGGTCAAAGAAGAAGGCTAATACCCAAGCAAATGGCGCCGTCGTTCCTGTCCCACCGCCAAAACCACTCTGGGGAGGGGATGCTTGGACACGAAAGGAGGTGGAACCGGAAGAAATACAGGAATTATTGAGGGGTTGCACAAATGAACTGAAGTCAAGAGCCTTGGATATGCCGTTCCTCCTCTTACCGTTCCGACCAGCATCGGATCCCAGCGCAGCACGCACATTCATCCGGAACTTCTTCAGCATGGAAAGGGGTACCGATCTAAAAGGAGAGCGCTTGGACCAAGAATTGATGTTAACGGAACCGATGGTATGTACAACTCTGGAGCAGCTTAGTCCGACTCCCGACCACTCGACGGGTTGCGCAAGATATGTACTGGGAGCAAGAAGCCGTTCCACATGCACTTCGAGCTGTCTCATTGCTTGGGTCTTTGTCTTCAACAAGGAATGATTCCGGGACCCTTGCGATGGGCAGGACATGGCTTTCGAGCAGAAGACTCTTGATGCCCCTACGAGGCGTCTCCCTACTCGGGGTTTTTGCCCGGGTTCCGTGACTTGAAGAAGGAATGCTGACTAGTATATAGGTCCTCAGCAGTGTCATGAAATGGTGTTGGAGCAGATTGGCTGGTGGAGTGGTAACCTGGGATGCATACGAGCTTTTCAAAGTTGGAGAGCAAGATTCTGATATGGCTCGGGATGCCTTCGCCACCTTCATGCCTCTCAGCGTTGAGTCCGACGCACGAACAAAGATCATATTCGACTTCTTCGACCTGATGGCTGCCATAGCGGCTCATGGCAAGACGAATGGCATGGGCGGTCGAAAGCTGTCAAGGTTAGCCGGCTGGTGGGCTTTCGAACAGATTGATGCAGGCAATGGCTTTGATGGAGGCTACAAGTCTTGGTCAAGGTTCGTGGGAAACCCTTACTTCAATTGACGAATGTTGACAAAGAGACAGCGCCGCTGATGCTACGAGCCATTTGTTCTTCGCATACCTGCGTTCACTCTCTCCCGACTCTGTTCGAGGTTTTAACGGGATATCAACATTGCCACTGTCTCTGCAAACTCTGGTACGGGACACCCAGTATCCACCAGCATACCCGCCATTCGAAGCTACGGCAAAAGTGGTCATGGTCGTCAACTCTGTCTCACCAACTCCCTTTGCTTTGCTACGTCGTGCCAAGCATTTCGAATATCGAGACGACGATCAAGTATTACAACAGTTTTCGGACTTTCAAGACCCTGTACAGGCTTTGACTGACGAGTGTCGACGGGTATTGAAGAGCATCTCTTCGGCTAACCAGTCAGCCGTATCAAACACCAAAGCTTCAACGAGTCTCGGCGATGCATCTTGGTCACGGTTTGAGGACATTGGATTTACCGGGCTTGGAGAACACGATGATGATGACGAGCCGGACTCTGCTCTTGGAAAAAAGCGGAGAATACAACACGCAATGAAGTCGGCACCGCAGTCCAGGAGCAATGATTGCGGCCGGCCCACTACCCCTTCCTGGGCTGACTTCCTTTCATCCGGATTTGTTGAAGAATCCACCAGTCCAGCACAGGCTCAGTTGTTCCTTCCCCCAGACAAGATTCTACCACCAATTGACCTAGATGGGAGAGCAAAAAGCTCGCAATCGCACAAACCTGCCCCAAGCGAACTTGAGCCTGGCGAGCTTGCAAGCATCAACGCCATAGATCTGGACGATGCCTTTTGGTGGGTCTGGATTACGAGTCTTGCGGGCGAGGAGACCACCGGACGAAAGTCCGTCTTCGGGAGGTGTGCTTTGATCGAGACTAATATTCACGGAGGCACCTGGCTGGTCATTGAGGAGATGGTCAAAGGCGCGGCTCCTGAACCGGAAGTAGGGGCTTATATTGCCGAAAAGAAAGGTCGCTTTACGTTTGGCAGCAGGATGAGAACTATGTCGAGGACAAAAACATTGGGAAGGAAGACTCCTACACCTAAAGTAGATACTTTCTCACGGAGCAACCAATCATTACCAACGGTCAAGACGAATATTGGACCTGATCAGCATGCGAGAATACAAGCTGCTGCTGCCGTTTTACAGCAAAAGCAAAAGCAGCAAGAAGCTGGCCAAGACCCAATCAAAGCAAGCCCTCGTAGAGGTCGGGGGGGCGATGGAATTTCGACCAAGACTAACAGTGTCTTCACGTTACAGCCTGTCATCATGAGCGAAGCCGGACCTGCAATGAAGTGGGCTAACACCTACGATAAGAAGGCGATCCGCGCTGAGTATCTGGGAAACAACTTTGCGGGTAGAGGCTCTGCGACAGATGTTAGTGCCCCTGGTGGTAACACTGTCGAAGCGGACGCGTCTGCGACGCCACAACCACCAAAAGCTAAGGAGGCACCAAAACATGAATACGGTTTTCCAAAGCAACAAGAGCAGTCCAAAGAGCTTCCTAGATCTGATTCTGGTATTGATACGGACAGAAGTCTTCCGCCACTACCGGCCGCGACGCCAAGTGAAGCAACTCTGCAAGCGCAAAGCAGTGCTCCGCCACCTGTATTTATTCCACCAGCGCCTTTACCTCTGGCGGATCAGATGCCTTCAGGACCGCCTCCGCCAGCGCCGTTGCCGATAGAACCTGAAGCAAGGCCTGCAAATGCACTCGCAGCTGATGCCGCAGAGGTACCATTACCTGCCACTACTCCTATGGAGCCCAGTGAAAAGGCGCTGCTTCCCGTACAGGGCGAAGACCTCGAGCCAACGCGGACAATCACTGGTTCTCAGCCTAACGGTTTGACGCCTATTAGTTCGCCAGAGAGCGGAAAGGATGGCAAAAGCGTTAGGAAACAGCAAGGAGGTTTCAAGGGCTTCTTCGGCAAAAAGAAAGGACCGACCTTACCTGCGACACCACTGCCTGCAGATAGCGCTGCCGTTGCGGCTGCTCGCGCTGCGTATGTTGGCCCTCAGATGAAACCAAACTATATGGCTTCTAGTTCTTCAACCTCGCTCAGCCGTCGCTTCTCTGGCATTGGAAGAAAGAAGGTGCCACCCCCCCCTATGCCAACCTCTCCGCCTATTGCGGATGCAGAGGAGTCACTTGCAGCGACGCCGGCGCCATTCAAGGATACATATGAATCTCAAGCTAGCCTGAGTGGTGTCGATAGCAACGAAGATCATGCCACCAATCGAAGGTTTCACACTTTCGATCAAGGTCCCTTGGATCAGCCGGCTTTCGTGCCTGCTGACGATGTTCATAACTCCCCACGGGCGTCTTTCGTACAAGAAGACTCCACCGACGGTCCATCTCGATTGTCTAAAGCTGATGCAGGTGCGCATTATCCGCGGCCAATCGGACGTGGCGAGTATGAGCCGTCGATATCTTCGGAAGAGCGGCCACCTTCGTCGCCGATGCCGATGCCGATGTCAATGCCAGTGCCAGAGCATCCCACGCAGATGGATCGCTGGGCGCAGATACGGAAGAATGCGGCTGAGAGAGCAGGGAGGATAAGCGAGGAGAAGAATCCAAGAGTGAGTCAAGATAAGACGGAGGATGGAGAGGAGAGTGGGGAGGAGAGTAAGTCTTCTATTATATCGATTGCAGAACACAGGTGCTGACGATTGATAGCCATTGAATCGCGAGTTGCGCGAATCAAAGCGAGAGTGGCAGAGTTGACGGGGAATATGCAGTCCGAATCGAGTCGGCCACGTGACTAATTAGTAAATCATTGGGCATTCGAAGTGGCTGTAGACCGCAGAACCTCTCCAAGTCGTCATCTTCAGCACTCAATCCGCCTCATTCGCTCCATCGACAACCATATCTCACCATGAGAACAGTGGTAGCCCACGTCAATGATCCTTGCTGCACTCCAAACACACGGACTCCTCGACATCCAATTCCTCAACCCATGGGCTCAGCTCGCTTTGGTCCGTCAACTCGATACTGAATACTCAGATATATGGTCGAACTCAATGTTTAAATTCGGGCGCCATATCTTTTAATACCCCTTTTTCCTTGTCTACTAGCGTGCGAGATACCCAGCGATAATTCAGCTTCAGACTGATACCCTTCTTATGGCGCGGCTCTGTGCATCGAGCGCTCTACATAATACATGATATGATGGATTTAAGCCAACCGCCGGCTATGAAGGAAACTAAATTCTCATTACGAAGTGGCTGTAATGATGGGGAGCGGACCAAGGGGTAGTGGCTAATTGCAGAGAGGTAGTTCAATTTAGGGAGCTACAATCCATGAGTGTAGAAATTCTCGCCTGCAATCAATCTCCTTAGACTATGATCGTGCAGAAAACGTTACAATTCTCGGCGCTGAAACCATTCCACACGTCACAGACAGAACGATAGTCACAACACGTGATTAGAACGTCTATATACGCAATTCAATGTTGTTGTTATGCGATTCTAATGTACTTAAAGTCTTTAAAATGTATTCTGTTATGATGAAGATTTAAGGGGCTTAAGAATTGAAGCTCACATTTAAACCTTCTGATGCGAAGCTTCGAATTCGTATATTCCTCATATTTTGGCGAATGTATAGATGTTGAATGTTTTGACTGCCTTCAAGTTGTGAAATCATCAATAATCGTTTGTGCGTATCAATTTCCTGTGTGTATGTCATATTCGCTGATTTGACTGTGGTGTGTGGGATTTTTTCAGTGCCAAGAATTGTAACAGTTTTCGGCATACGCTAATATTCGTCACTCCAGGATTGGGACACTCGCCCGCGTGTAAGCGCCGCGGCTAAACTTGCACACAAAACCGAAGTATGTTCATGTTTTTATCACAGGAGCCACCATGATCTGCTCCACAAGAAGCATTCTGGCAACCAAAACTGAGTAAGTACCGATCTCTCTCCAGCCCTGAACGCCAAGCATGCTTTCATGATGAGACAAAAAAACCCCATACATTTCTTTAGGAAGAGCCGGAAAAGGCATGGCAGCATCATCTGATGCTTGCCGTCGATGCTTAGGAACGGGTCTCTGATACACTCCGCTCGTCAGACACGTCATTATCGATCGAGGACTCTGGAGCGGAATGCTGACTGCTGTGCGAGAAGTAGATCCCCCGCCCTGGCTGCGGCGTGGTCAGCTTGGGATCTGCCAACTCGCCGCGCTGTCAATCATCGGAGTTCTTCAAGGTGGTTGTAGATACGGGGATAATGGGTGGCATGCAGATGAAACATACCTGTGTACAGCTATGGTCTGAGTGTTCGCACACTAATTGGGTCGCCAGATTTTGTGCATGAAGGATTCTTGAGTGCATGAAGGATTCTTGATTGCATGAAGGTTTCTTGAGGCTGAGCGTTATGAACTGAATCAGAAACAACCTCTGCATAATGATGCCAGGGCGCAGTCGAGGGGGCTTGGGTAGATTGGCAGCTGGTAAGATTCAATAATTTGGTGCATCTTGTTCTCTGAAGGTCCTCTACCTCTGCACTTTTGCGTCATTAATTAATTACACATATTTCGGTTGATAATGTTTATCTCTGCATGGATCTTGCCCTTTGTGATGTCTCTGTTGCCTCAGGCTCAAATGCTTACCTCGGGCAATAGTTCTGGCAATAGAGAGTTTGGTGGTCCTATCGTTTGCTCGGTTTGTTAGAAAAGAATCTTTGGGACTCTCCTGCTGCTAAATTTTAGTCAGGGTACTAGATTCTTCTCTACAACGCATGACGGACAATTGTAAGCGTGCTAACTTCAAGCGTTGTTTGTCAACGTGGTCGCTCATGAAATCTAGCATCATTCAAGGTATCATCTATCAACAGCCATTAACAAATGAAGACCTCGGGAGTCCCAGCGAGAATATCGCGAGTGCGCCGGTCGGTTATCCGATCCCTACACTTTCCGACTCCTCGACGTGTGCGCAAGATGTCGCAAACCTTTTGGCTTTAAACACGAATCTGATACGAAGTTACGCGATCGATCCAACACAAGAACGCTCGCAATGCATGGCCTCACTTGCTGAGGCTAACATATATGTCTTAGTCGATCTCACCGCACCGGGGTATACCATAGATGGCCGTAATCCCCAATGGAATGAAGGACTCTATAACCGCTACACAGCAGTCATCGACGCCATGCAGGAATTCAATAACACTTTCGGATTTCTTGTTGGCGACGACATTGCCGGCTCCCCACATGAAATCAGCGCTTTCATTAGAGCTGCTGTGCGTGACATGAAAGACTATATTGCCAGCAAGGGTTATAGAAACATTCCTGTAGGATATGCTGCCAGTGATAATGGCAGTAGCCTTGGAATCGCCCAGTATCTGGCTTGTGGTGATCCGAGCACAGCTGTCGATTTTCTAGGCATCAACAATCGTGAATGGTGCAAGTTTGACGATTACGATACGTCAGGCTATTCAGCCATGACATCTGCCTATTCTAGATACCCTGTGCCAACCTTTCTTGCTTCGTACGGCTGCCTCTCATCGGAGTCTGGTCTGACTGAGGATTTCTCTGAGATTGCTTATATCTACGATAGCAACATGACCACGATTATGTCTGGTGGCTTGTTCTACGGCTTCTTCTCAACGAACGAGTCGGCTCGATATGGTAAGCCACGACTGTAGAGAGTTTGCAAACTGGGTATACTGATGGAAGTCCAGGGTTGATCACTACAGATGGTCACGAAAACCTTAACGCAAGCAACAGCAGTTGGTTCGATTCATATGAATACTCGATGGCTAGAGTCCCGTCCACGCCCTTTGGTTCCTCTCACTTTAGTCCTTTCCCTACTAGCTGCCCGGCAGATGCTGTGACTAGTCTCCCTCCAAATCCCGTTCTCCCTCCAGACCCTGTACGGGCTGCATCAAATACCACGTCCCCGCGCGACCCACAAAAGCCCGGCAGTCCTCCACATTCATCACATCTCTCGCATGCTATCATAGCCGGCATTGCTGTTGGCTGCATTCTCGGCACGTCTTTTCTGGTGATGAGTTCTTGCCTTGTTATTTATGGAAAGAGAAGACGGACCGCACATGCAGAGGCCTGGAGCAAAGCAGAGCTCCCAGCGAACGGCGTGGACAACGAGGCAAGGGGCTTGGGGCCGCACATGCTTGATGGGACGGCAATTGCAGAAGTTGAGGGTACCCAGCGAATGCTAGAAGTCGAGGGGAGGAGTACGGCCCTCGAAATGGAGGGCGGAAGCACTGAAATCTTCGAGGCGCCGGCCGATCTGTCAGCCTTGCCCGAACTCATGGCAACAGAGTAGTAGAAGAGAGGCCCGAATGAGTGCTCTCTCTTGAAACAATGAATCCATCTTGCATCCTGTCAATAACATGGCAGTGCTAGGAGAATTATGGACGGCTCATTTCGAACGGGAAAACGACCTTAGTCTTTGTACGAATACCTACTCAGAAGGTTTGTTGTCTAATCAAATTTCTAATGTAAATCGCGACCTTGGGAGTCAGCTCGCTTGTTCGAACGACCAATGTAATGCTGTTGATGCTTCGCAATGCATGCACCTTGCCCCACTTTGACTCAAGGAGTCGCAACCTTCGAAATGGCACACTGTGCATGCAGGAAGGTTTAGCCTTCCGTGTCGCCAATTTGCAATCCGTCCGATCTGCTGGCTGGTCGCAGGACCCCTTTTCCGTGCATATGCCCTGGGCTCGCAGGGTTCCATAGGGATTCCCGCTCCTGCAGCGCACCTGCAGGACGCATGCAAGATTTCCCTCTGACGGGCAACCAATGCCACTCGGATTCTTCCTCAAGCTCTGGAGAGGAACAGGTTCATCGCTGCCGCGATCGCAGGTACTACAGCTTGCGGACCGCCCTTTTGATCATCCTTTGCTGGAACCCGAGTAACTGCCCACCTTCGTGCAGGGTAGGTTCCAATGGCTGTTGATCGGGGGTGGAACAATTGTTTCCTAGAAGCTACTACAATACCTCATCCCGCGTATCTACCAGTACTACTTACTCGACGCCTGCGCCGCGTATTGTTTTCATCTCTACAGAGTCCCCCATCAGGCCATCTCCTCTGCCCTCCGTTTCCCTGTCAGAAAATCACGCGGCTCTCAACCGTCCTCTTCAGTACCTTCCTTGTTCCCTCATCAGCCCGAATCCAGCCTTACCAATACAAATGCTGGTGCGGCATCGTCAGTCACCGCGTCCTATTCCGCAGCCTTCTTGCCATGCGCCATAAACTTCACCCCCCCCACTAATCTCCCAGTGGACCGGTTGCACATCCTCTACCCTCCAGAACAGCAACTGCACCCCCACCTCAGCCTCCACATCCGTGCAGCTCGACCCGGCATGGATGCGCACCGACCCAGCATTCAACTGCCCTGAAGCAGCACTCAATGCAGATCGCAGCCTGTGTTTCGAGCACGCTCGGCGTTGATGTGCACCCTTCACAGGCGGAGATTCCATGTGTCTCTGGAAACGAGAGAGGGTGTCGCTGTCCCAAAAGCTGGAAGAGCTGTTCCGCGCGCAACTCCTCGGGCTCTGGCCCATAGTCCCCTTGGATGGTGTCCCATGGGAGAGCACAACGTCGTCTTGTCCTGCTCCATTGCGACACAGTTATTTTGCTGACCCGTAAGTTGTGACAGACTGGTGCATAAGCTGCTCACGTCGCGTTATGACTCGAGGTTTCGATCTGAACATGTCGAACATTGAATTGTTGAGTCATGTCACGTTGTGGCTTCGTTTCCCATCAAATGAGCTCCGATGGTCGAGTTGGCTGGGTAAAGCCAATCACCAGAATAGCGTGGCTGTGCGCCGAAGAATGGCTGTTTAACTTTCAGAACGTTTCGAATTCTGTTTCCCTGTCTTGCATTTTGCGGTGGAGCGTGTTGATTTAGGGGCGCGACGCTGTGTGTGTCGGGGGATGAGTTTTGCTGTTTATGAGATGCTGGGATTGGGTTCGTAGGGGCAGGGGTAGGGGTAGGGGTGATCGTTTGCCGTTGCCCCTTTTCGTCTTCCCCTTTTTCTGTGTCTAAACACGCGAACCTTGGGGTCGGTTGTGGTCTCCTCGAAATGTTCAAATCTCTATGGGAAGTCCTTGCTAAGTTTCTTTCACCTTGGTTTTGGATGATGGGGGATCTGCTCCATTGTGATAATGATGTCCACAACGAACAGTTGTGCTGACGGATTCATGGTTCAGACCTCTGATTCCTAGCGCCAATTCCGGCCATTTGACTCGCTTCTTGAATTTTGAAGAAGTGCAAGCGCCTCGAAGACGAAGAAATTAGAGAACGGCATAACATCGGCAAGCATCTGAAGCTACAATGGGCATTTCAGCTTTCTTATGTAGACGTCGCAGAAAGGGATCCACATTTATTCTGTACATTTGTACTTATTCTCCGTTGGCGTTGTTGCGGATTTTCGGCGTCAAGGTACGGGGGACTTCATGGAATAGGTCATCCTGCTTTGGTAAATGAAGAGTAATATTGGATTGAGGACAGAAGTCACCGGAAGATCAACACGGGTAAGGTTTGTGAACTTCGAGAAGTTGATAGTCTCTACTCGTAAGACATCTTCGCCTATCCACCAACATGCGCAACTCATTTCGTGCTATAAAGACGCAAATATGCAGGATACAGCCAAGATTGCACCAAAGAGTATTCCGCGGCCTTCCGACCCCTTGTTGGCTCCACTCTTCGCACTCGATGCAGTCGCCGTCGGCGAAGTCGTTCCCGTATTCGCTCCCGACGAGGCGCTGCTCGTCTTGGCCGCCGTGCTTGAACCACTCGGTGAGCCACTCGCAGCAGGCGCAGCCGTTGCAGCCGCTCCTGCACTGCTCACTCCTGCACTGCTCAATACTCCTGCATCCACAAGCTTCGTGCACGCTCCCACCACCGTCGCCGAATAGGCACTGAGTTCACTAGTTGGATAACTCGTCTGGCTCGCCATGGCAGCATAGCATGTCGTTGCTGCATCATCCCACGCAGTCCCATTGTAGCTCCCATTCTCGTTGAAGCAGAAGCAGCTCGCTTGAGCCGTGTTTGGAAGTGTCGTGAATCCCGGTGTGGCTGACTGACAATAGTTGACAAAATCGGCAATGGAGGTACATTCTGCGACGCCAGGGTCCTGAGCTTCAGAGCCCGAGTCGGAGCCGGAGCCAGAGCCAGAGCTGGGTTCGGAGCTGCTGGGCGTGGCGGATGATGATTGAAAGCACGATGAGGGGTTCGACGAAGCACAGCAGTTGTTGGGGTCTGCGCAACCTGTTTTACACCAATTGGTTACGCAATCGGTTGCCGCTGGGAAGCCGCCGGGGCAGGCGGTGAGGATGAAGTTGCAGAGGTTTTGTTCACCATCGATGGCGATTGCGGGGCCAGAGTCATCGCAGTTGGCGCCAAAGGGGTCGCTAGGGTCGCAATCTTGGGCGGCAACGAGGCTGAGAGGAGAAATTAGGAAGAGAATGTGGAGCGAACGCATGGTTGATGGTGAGTGGAATACTTGTTTTGGAGTGATTGAAAGAGCGGAGGAGGGGCGAGGTAGAAGGGTACGCGGGCAATTGCTTTGGAAGGAAGGAAAGAAAGAAAGAAAGAAAGAGTGCAATTGCTGCTACTGGTGCTGCCTCCAAATATGTAGCCTTCGGATCCCACAGCGCCGAGCGAGGCTCCACAGAAAGTATAGCATTTCAACCACGCACTTGCAAGGGAATCGCATGTTCCAGTCTTCCAGAGCGCGCGTTGCAGGTAAAGCTGAGACGCGATGCTGAACTTTCCTTAGCGACTCGCCTTTCTTCTCCCAAAGAAGCCTGGCTTACCTTCTTGGCCCCTCAAGCGGACAAGTCTTGGCGCTGGACGGGCTGGCGACGTTGACCCATGTTTGTACCGGGTCAAAAACCTACAGCCAGGCTCAGTGCGGGTGTTGAGGGTGTGGGTACTCGTAATTTTCAGCTTGGGTTCTCTGGGGACACCTGGAGTCGAGGCTTCGGACACGCTTTGCTGGGTGGGCAACCCCAGATACACAGCTCTTGGCCGAGCCGATGCTACCCAGGACGCTGAGCTGAGCCATTCTTCTTTGAGGCCCTTCGAGACCCTTCGAGTCGCTGTAACATGCTGGCACAAGGTTCGGACGTATGTAGCGAGGAGGTGACCCAATGATCTGAAATGAGCTTCTGCTAGAAGGGAAGCTCAAGGGGCGAAGCACGAAAAATGGACTTGACTGGACAAGGACGTAGGCTTGTAGTCAACGAACACGCAAAGAAACCAAGAGGAAGCAGACAGAAGGCGAAGAGACACAAATCGAAGAGTAGCGGCTTAATCAGGCTGAGCGATCTGTTACCTGGGGATATGAGAGTCGCAGGACGACTAAGGCTTGCGAATTGTCAGAACATCCGTAACATCAATCTTGTAGTAGCAGTGACTCTTTGTGATGAGGCTGGAAGAATTGAAAGATGGAAAACATGCGGAGTATCATATTCGAAGCACCAAAGGACATTGGGGATGGTGGGGACACCGACTCCAAAGCTTCAGTTGCCAAGATATACGAAATATGCCCCAATCTTATCCCTCATCAGGTCTAGGATGACCGTCGCCCTATTACCCCTATTTTCATAATCATTAGGAAACTAGAATCGCGATTTTGGCACCCCCTTCAAAAAATAAAAAAAGTGCTTTTCTTAAATAGCCTCACAACGATAACTTGTAACGTTCTAAAAATCTCTAGATTTTAATAATTATATAAGAGATTAAGATTCTCGAATTATAAAAGATTCTAATTATTCGTTTTATTATAGAATAAAGATTTAATAAATTCTTAGATTTTTTAAGATAGTCTTGGCGGTAAAAAAATAGCCGAGGTAAATTTTTCAAGTTCGCGATATATTCTCACTTTTTATATTTCACTTATAAGATAAAAATTTAAATCTTTCTAAAATCTAGAGATAGATTACTTAATATAATAAGTAGATATCGTAAAATTTCTAGACTGTAAAAACAAGTGGTGGTGAGGTTATATAGGAAAATTCAAATTTTTGATTTTTGATTATGGGGGTGCCAAATTCGCAGATTTTTTTTAGTTTCCCAATGATTAAGAAAATAGGGATATCACATACTTTACAGTCGGTAGGGGATATATATATAGATTTTTTCATATTCATAGAATAGACTATAGATTCTTGATATATATTGTACACTACGTAGCTGTCGGTAACTCAACACACGCTACCACTAGTACTTATTCGGCCTAGTACATTGATATATAAAGGCTGTCTTCTTGTATATAGAGTCCTTCTTCTTTAGACACAGACATCATTAAGAATACCATATCTAGTGATAAGTCTCATTATAGCAGTAACTGCATACCCAGGTATTACCAACACTGATCAGTGTACTTCAATACTAGTACACAGATTAGCAAGGCCATACTCTGAAGGAAGTCCGTCCCGATATCGCCGCGATAGCTTCACACGGTTCTATGTTACTCAATCGATTCCGCTCATTGTGACGATTCGATTGAATAGAACTACAATTTCTACAATTCCTACGACTCCTATCCAGCAGAGAAAACATCCAGAGAAATCGACTTAACACCACCAAGCTTCACACCACATTAACACATAACACACACCCAAAATGGACTCCAAGGACAAGAAACCTGACTCTTCAGAGACACCGCCTGACACTATGACTCTACATCAACTAAAGGACATGCTAAACAAGGGAGTCGAACCAACAGATACCGATGAGAGAATCGAACAATTTGTCAGTTGGAGAATACAAGACTACAATGAAAACAAATGGGAGTCCCTCTCCGACATCTTTGCTGAGGAATTTCGACTATTCGCTAAGGAGGACTTTGAGGCCCTTTCCAAAGAACAACAATATGGCTTACGAAACTGCCTACGAAACAATGGAGTCTATGTTAAGAAAGGACGAGGGGTTTCAATGGCCGAATCATTGGCGAATGTAGTCCAAGAAGAAACCCCATGGCCACTGGACGACGAGAATCGTCCTCCACCAAAGCATCAATACCCTCCTCAGCAGCAGCCTTATCAGCCTTATCGACCGGAGAACACTGTTCCTCTCCCCCGCAACAGCCAGTTCAGCCACAGCAGCCTTGGCCCTACCAACCAATTGTCGAGGATACCACTCCAGTCCATCCCCCCCCACTCCAATTGTCGAGGATACCACTCCAGTCCACCCTCCCCCTACCCAAGCGACGGCCCTCCACGTCAGCCTCAACTACAGTCAATGCAGTCAATTCAGCAACAACAGCCTGAGGATACCACTGCGCTCCTTTCCCAAGACTTCGAGATCAAGGAACAGGCCGTTGCAGAGGATATCAAGGAACAGGCCGTTGCAGAGGAGATCAAGGAACAGGCCGTTGCAGAGGAGATCAAGGAACAGGCCGTTGCAGAGGATATCAAGGAACAGGCCGTTGCAGAGGATATCAAGGAACAGGCCGTTGCAGAGGATTCTTTGAAGAGCACTACGAAGAAGAGCATTACAAGCAGCAGCCCTGTCAACACGAGCCAACTCTCTGCGGTTCTACGTCCGCGCACTATATCGATCCTCAGAGAGCCTACTTTCTCGCTCAGCACCGCTCGAATTCAGCATACTTCAAATCTCGCTCCACCTTTCGCCTCCCAGCATGCTTATTTTCTCGCTCCACTTTTCGCCTCCCAGCATGGTCATTTTCTCGCCTCTTGGCTCGCCTCTCCGCTCGGCTACATTCGTGATACGGAGAGGCGGAAGGCTATAGGCCAAGGATAGGTGCATGGAGTATATGGACGGTGCATTCTTGATGTAGCTGTCCAGGGATTTGATCATGAGGGTCTATCTTTCTCTCATTGCTACTAGAAATACACCTAGCATGATCAGATCTACGCCCACAGCAAAGGGAGGGATTACAGCCATGGAGAGCATTGCAGAGAAGGTTCGAAGAAGTAATGTTTTGATAGCAGGCGAATAGCCTCATCTTTTTCGGTTTTTGCCAGTGTCGGTAACTCAACACACGCTACCACTAGTACTTATTCGGCCTAGTACATTGATATATAAAGGCTGTCTTCTTGTATATAGAGTCCTTCTTCTTTAGACACAGACATCATTAAGAATACCATATCTAGTGATAAGTCTCATTATAGCAGTAACTGCATACCCAGGTATTACCAACAGTAGCTATACTGTATATATCGCTACAATAGAAAAAGGCTACTCAGCTCTAGGGCTAATACTTAGTACCTATATATACTCAGGGGGTGAATATCTTATATCGGCCCATACACCTAAAAAATAAGGGCGACCATCTATTTATCTCTTCCATCATTATCCCACTCATAGAGTAGCCTTCCAATCTTCTTCTAGATAATCCATCCAATCAGCTCCATGCCTCTCTACCCACCCATACCATACTCCGAACCCAACGAGCCCCTCCCTCCAATCGATGTCTCCTCCACCGACGCCAACCGCAGCTCCTTCCTCACTACAGACTACGACTCCACCATTCCCCTCATCCGCGCCCGCTTCCCCAACATCGACCCCCTCTACTTCACCAAAATCTTCCGCGGCACCATCCACCCCGAAGGCCTAATCTGGCTCGACGTCGACCGCCAAGACGCATCGCCCCCCAACTTCTCCGACCTCGCGCACCTCCTCTACTGCTTCGAGATCTACGGCCAGATCCTGTGCATCCTGGCGGATCCGCGGGGAGGGCCGAAGGAGATAGAGTTGCAGCGGGCGCTGTCGGAGTACCGCGTCCGGGTGCTGAAGTTGAGCAAGGTGGCCAGCTTCGAGAGCTTGAGGGACTGGCACAAGGCGTATCTGGCGGCGCAGATTAGGGATGGGCAGGACAGGGTGGAGGGGTGGAGGGAGAGGAGGGAGGGGTTGGGGGCGTTGTTGAAGAAGAAGGTGGCGCCGGTGGAAGGGGAGAGTGGTGCTGGTGGGCATTATGCGACTCATTAGAGCGTTCACGACATATGGTGGAATTGCTCAAAAGCGCCAAAGTACTTCTCTTTTCGATGAAATACCTTGTCTCATGACCGATACGTCTAGTACCTGCTATGAAGTCCTTCTTTTCCGCAACTTCTGTCCCAGACATGTTCTCTCAGTTGCCTTCTTTGGGACGTTATCGGCGTTCGTATCATACGACATCTATTTTCCTTTCTTAGATACCATACAGCAGAATATGATAAGGCGATCTTTCGAATGCCAATACGCGTGAGCCCGGATAGCGCACATCGGAGCACCAAGGCCCGTTCAACAGGTCTGATGCTATCAAAGTTTTCACTTTGCAGAAGACCGGATAGGCGCGATCCCGCTTTTAACACTCTGTGCAAATGCATCAACAGGCAGCCCCATGCACGACCATGTTGGAGGAGAAGGTGACTTAGGGGGTAAGGGATTATTGGCTCCACGATGAGTCTGCTCAGCTAAGGGACTCTATTCTGCCGAAGGGCTCTGTTCATCTAGGAGGGCCTACTCGACTACAGAAAGTGGATTTTGTCGATGCGGTGGAGCGTTTTCCGGCTGGATCCAAGATGAAATGCCCCCCTCGGTTCACGGCGAATTCACCTCTGTGATGATCTTGCACATGCCTTGGCTGATCACACTCTTGCTTATCTGCAGTTCTGGATTTTGGTGCCTCGGAACAGTTTGACAGGCGTGAATAGTCCCCCATCTTTCAACAGAGAACCAGCCATCTGTATTTGCATGCCGATACCCTCAAAGAGCATCCAACCGCCCGCACCAAGAACGGCACCCGTCGCATCTATGCCGTATCTGTACATTTTGTTATTCCATTCTTCCTGCTCCTTTTCGCGCCGTTCTTCCTCCATCTTCCGACGCCGTTCTTCCTCCATCTTCCGAGCCGTTCTTCCTCCATCTTTCGACGCCGTCTTTTCTCCACCTTCATAAGTCGTTCTTCCTCTGCCTTCATTACCTTTTCGAAACTCGCTTCCGAAGCCTTCTTATGTTCCTGGGCTTCAGCGAGCTCACGTACGTACTCGTCGGCTTCATCCTGCAAAGCAGCCCGTATTGTATCTTCATGTGACTTCTCGATCTGGGCCAACGTTGAATTGAAGCTGTCCTGGGTTTTCTTGATTTCTAAAGATAGATCTTGGTCAACTTTTTGACCAGCTGTAGTATCAAGGATATGTTGTCCACTTCCCAGCTGACGTTGTATCAGTAACCAGCTGGGCTGAAACTTGAGTACTCGTGCGATAACATCGGAGATCGGATCAACGATGCCAGAGGAATAATTGGCTACTCCACCCAGCCGCTTTGGCCGGGAGCAACCTAGCTCAATCATGCCAGACCAGACATTCTTCGTAAGTTCTTCTTCGTGTTTTTGTGCAAAAGAAGTGGACGCTTTGTCCCACTTTGTAGTCAGAAACATCACGTTCTTTAGCGACTGATCACCACAGAGGTGGTGAAACATGTCTAGATTCTTGAGTGCAGTATTCGTCATTTTGCCCATAGTAATGTCTCGTAGAAAGAGCAGGCCACTGAGCTTGTGTCCGCCCTTGTAACTGTGAGTCCTTAAGTTCAGAGCAGACCTCAATATATATATAAGTAACAACTCACTGCGTAAACAAACTCATCGCAATTCTCTCAAGTACCTCTCCATCGCTGAGATAGGCATCGTCGAACCCAGGAGTATCAATAGAAGTAATAGTTTCTCCATTGACGATAGTCACATACTGACCCTCGCCAACATCAGCAACCTCTCTGCCACAGATCTTATTGACGAGCTGGGGAGCGTTGGTCAGTCAACGTTGTTGAACATAGGATAGAAGGCTTCCGAACCAAACTTTTGCCAGAGCCTGTGGCACCCATTAACATGTCAATATTTTTGGCATGAATAATGTGCATCATTTTGTTACTCACGCAATAAGATTGACTGAGTGTTTCCTATAGGAAACAAGTCGAATTGAATCATTTCGTTGACCTCCCTCACCCATGACGCCTAGTACAGGATGCTCTCTCTGCTCTTCATAAACATCTGGAGCCCAAGTTCGTAGTCTGGTCACAATACGATAATGAAGCTGACTTGTATTGAAAGGCTCGTCAGCCCTCTTCAATAGCCCTTCAATTAAGGGCGGTGCTGAATGAATGTTCCCCTACGCCTGGTGTCTCCGTTCTTTCGGTGGAAAATGCTTCGTAGTGCTTAGCACCAGTCTCTCCGTAGACAGTCTTGAGGAATTGGAAACAATCGCACACAACGAGCACCTAGCACGCAGCGTCCAAAAACTTCGCATCGCACCTTCACCGGACGCAGACGCAGAAAGGAAGCTTTGTTTAGGCGACAGTTTCGACTGGCCTCGATGATCCAATGGGGTTATAAGATTTCCAACGGAAGGAACACAGGTCTTGCAAGAGATCATGCTGCACCGAATCCCCACTTGCAGATCCTTTGAGATTGTAGGCCGCGATGTCAAGGAGGATCCGACGTACGGTGATCTCTGCGATACGGACGTTGTCAGTATTGTGTTGAATCTTGTGTCGCAGGCATGGGGTTTATAGTGAAGCTTACGAACCAAGACTCGCTTCAATTTCGGCGCTTTCGGGGTACGGTCCAAATATGGATAAGAAGACCGTTGATCCTGCTTTATTCGAGCAAGCACTTTTTAGGAAAGGGTGGGAGAGTGTGGAAGAGTTGAGTCTGCAAAGAATCGACTCGTATATTTGGGGTTGAATGAAAGAGCTTGTCATGCTGGGCGCTAATGTGAAGAACCTATCCTTGGTGTTTGGGAATTTACAGATGTCTGGGCTCACTCTATGAGACTGCAAAGGAAGCGAACTTGATGCTGCATTCATTGCACCTTGAAGAGGCCTGCGTTGCTCCTAGTAGTCTATTCAACTTACTTCAGCATAGCCAAGATACGCTTCAAAGCTTCTCGCTGGGAGGATGCCGCAGCAAGGAGACGGGGACGTGTGGAGAGGTTTTTAGTGAGCTTGGAGCGCATTTCTTGTTCTTGCGTAACCCAGAAATCTCTATTATGTCTAGTGAACCACCCGGATCTGTTGTTGGCTAGTATTATATGGCGCTCGTTTGGTCGGATATTTTAATCGCGGAGGAGCACCTCTTTGATATAGAAAATTAATTCGAATGGGAGCGACTTCGATGCGAAGGGCCTGACCGAGCGTCACGAGGCTGGCGCTAGCACTTTTATCACTTCGAAAATTGGAGGTGTCTGTTACAGTCCTGACATTCCCGGAGCAGATTCCAGCGGCTATTACTCCGCAGACAGGGATCTCGCTCGATGGAGATCGAGGGTCTGAAAACGTAAATTGCCCACAGTTTAGCACGAGCTCAATTGGATGGTTATGCTTTAGCTGCCCCATTTGCAACGGGCGTCTCCCTCTGCCTGAGCGCTTGAGGCAAAAGCGCGACTTTTTCCTTGAACATTTTCTCTGCCCCTACCCATACAGGCGCTGTGTCCCTCTCCGGTAGCTGGAGGAGACTGGACAAAAGTGCTTCACTAAACGCTTCGGACGCCTCTCGCGGGAGTAGAGATGGGAGATGATCTGTGGAAATTGTAGAGTCAGCATAAAGATGCACACTAAGTTCCTGAAACAAACTTTCTTCGTCGAGAAATTATCGAATAGAGGTCCTTGTCGCTCAGAGGTGAACATACCTATAGAGATATAGCTCAGGGGTGGATTCAGGAAGTCCGGCAGGGTGATAGTCGGCTTGCTGAAGTAGGTGGGCTGGTTGGCAAAGGGGATAGGATTGTGAGGATTGGTAGTGTCGCAAGAAACATCACATCTAAACGGAATCTGAGCTTTAGCCGCCTATTCTGACCAAGATAAGGGGTAAGAGAGCACGGTCTCTGGGTGATTCGCTCCCAGTCCGTGGCAAGGGGTTGAGAGCTGCTCAGATTGTATAGAGCGAACAGGTACCTACACAACACTGAGATTGCGTGTTCCTTGCTTTAAAAAGTCCGTAGAAATGAAAGGAGGAAGAGGCTCGCTCAAGTAGATACAATTAATAAAGGCGTCAGCCTCCTTAATTGCATTATACGGTCCAGGCTGGGCCGTCTCGTCCTAAGTAAATTTCGGGGTCAGCATGGGAGTGAATGCTGTTGTGAGCTCCCGAAACAGAGCTTTTTGCTCTTGAATATTATCGAGTAGAGTCAAAGGTGCTCAGGACTCCACTGACCATGTCCCATTTCACAAGCTGTTGTTCCGGGATGCCAGCTTGTCGACAGCACTCTAGAGCCTAGATGGTTTTTGAATTAGTGTATTTATCCAGAATAACACGAGGTCGACTGACTCCTCTTCCGCATCTGCCCAACGCTCCGATAACAAGCACGCGCGGCGATTTCCCTTTGTTCCTTTGCACGCCTTTAGAGACCTGCTCCTTAACCTCTGTGTCTAGATCGCTTTTACACTGATAATGACCCTTGCCAGGTAAAGCTTCCTTATTACCGTGCTCCAGTTGCCATGCCCAATCTAGGAGAGCCAAAGCCGCGCCCGCATAGCCGGCATGAAATCCGAACGCTGCCACTCTGAGAGATTATAGTGTGTTAGCTTTGTCAGATGGGTTTACTTGAGAGCAAGCCGGATTGACCCACCGCCTGCCCTTTTCATCGGCCAGGAATTCTAGATCGTATAGAGTGCCTCCACCCCGAGGAAAGCGCCCTAAAACCTTCTCCCAGTCACCTTGGTTTTTCTGGATAGGGATTCGATCATCAGCTACCGGGGTTGTTAAGCTTGCGAAGAAGCTTACGAACGTAGCAATGGCTAAAGGCGACGTGGGTATGCTAATGTTTCGTCAGATAACTTGGCTTCCATCAATATGCTTTGAGGCTTACCTTCAGAGGAAAAGGGTCCTTGTCCTCTAATTCTTTCAAGCCAATGATGATGTGATCTTCCGGTGCGTTTGGCCATGATCCTTCCTCCACTAATGTAGCTCCGACGGAGGCGAACTCTTTATCGTCAAAGATTCGTTCAGGACTGCGCTCGATATTGACATTGAAACCGTTGTCGAGCAGTTTCCGGGTTACTGTTGGTGTGAGAGCACTGCGGTGCTCCAGTGGCTTGGTTTCGGATCGAAGGTGAAGGGTTACAGGAGCCATCTCAAAGTCATGGAATTGTGAATCGTGGGGAGGAATGATTCAGACAAGAAAATTCGAAAATCGAAGCCGACTTGATAGGGTTCTTGGTTAGGGTTAGGGTTAGGATTAGCGAAGCCAAGCCTAACCCTAATATCCCTACGTTTCCCAAGGTACTCAACTGGCCTTTCATGGAACACAGCGTTTCCTGCTAGTCACTCTTTTCCTCATTTTTCGCAATGGAAAACCAAGCCCAGCAATCAAAGCAAGGCGACTTGCACTGGCGCCTGAGCTCCCATCCCATAACGCTGCTTTTCTTTCTCGGATTCCGCATGTGTAGGTCCCCAGCGGAGCCCCGCCGTTCTGTCAACTGACATTGTCTCAGCATCTCTTCTAATATACCTCTTCGGTCTCTGGTTCTTCACCTCCAGCTTCGTCCTCGTGTTCATCGTTACCCTGCTCCTCCTGGCCGCGGATTTCTACTACCTCAAGAATATTGCTGGGCGAAGGCTTGTGGGGCTAAGATGGTGGAACGAAGTGGACACGACTTCGGGGGACAGCCATTGGGTGTTTGAGAGTCAGGATAGGAGTGGGGATAGCGGAGGACCGGTGCAGAATGCTACCGATAAGAGGTACGTGGAGAATATGGGAGGTGCTGAGGGAGGGGAGCAGGGAGGACAGGAGAAGGAAGAAGGGCAGAAGGGGGTTATTGCGAGTGTCGGGGGGGAAGACTTAATGGTTGAGCTGCGCTAATGCGTGGGTACGACAGGTTCTTCTGGCTAGCATTGTATGCACAGCCTGGACTCTGGGTCGGTTTGGCTATATTTGCGCTGGTGAGGCTGGAAAGCCCGATTTGGCTGAGTCTGAATGGTAAGTGCACATACTGGGGACGAACGTCAGTAATTGGTTCTTTGCTAATGGGGTTTGGCGCTGCAGCCATCGCGTTAATCCTCACGATCACGAACACCCTTGCTTTCTCGCGGTGCGATAAGTTCAGTCAGGCGTCGACTTTGGCTTCGAGCGCTATGTATTCTGGTGGGATAGCAAAAACTCTTGCAGGAGGAATGTTCAGTCGGCTGTTCGGGCGGTAAGGAAGTTTGGGTCTATAAGATACAGGGAAGCAAAGGTTTCTAAGCATCCTTCATGTTCTTCTATCTTGCTGTGACGTCTATCCAGAAGATGCTTCTTAGCTATCGTACTGTGCTGTCTGCTCACCTGCCTGTTTCACTCATTGGAGGCATTGAGCCAATCCGAACCGTCTCAACCGGACATCTATATGACGACAACATGATCCACAGACAGATATCAAGCTAGCAAGTGTTGGGATTACATAACGTTTTGGAGTAGTAATTTGCTCCATCGAAGCAGCATGTTTCTTTCCTAACCACGCATTCCATTCCTCGCCATGACTGCACCATGAATTGTGAGTTGACATCCTCTATCTGTCTTCCACCATCTTGTCTTCAACAATGCTCTTTATGTCTATCATTGATATGCAGTTTGATAGCGACCTCGCAAATGCCTTTAAAATGGTCGGTATCCCTCTCATGAGCTTCGCGTAGACTGTTGCAAAAATAATCCCAATCGCCTGGCTTGTTCCTCCGAATACAGCCTATCCTCCCTCCGAGTTCTCCGCCAGTCCAAGTAAAAATTGTCGTGATATCATTGACGTTTCTTGCAATCTCATCCGGAACACCTCGCTCCTCGATCAACGTAGGAAAGAGAACATGGAAGTTGCCACACTCTGTGAATGGAATGGGGACAGGGCCTATTGGCGAGTCGTGGACTGTAACAAGGAACATCGTCTTCTTCTTCATGTCGTCAGTCAAAGGCTCTGTCTTGACGTCTTCAACACCGCGGGCTTTTTTAGCAGTCGACCCTTCCTCTTCCTCTGATGTGCCCAGAGGAGTGGTAGTTGTCTTTTCTCTGCGCTGCTCCTCGCCAGCAATAGAACCATCGGAGAACATTAAGATATCTTCATTAGATGGATTTAGTGTTTCTGGCGTGGAAGTTACAGGCAGTGTGAGGTCGCGAGGACGAGGAGTTTGGAAAACGCCTAAAGCTTCGGTGCCTGAGGATGGCTCTCCTCTGCGGAACAAATGGGATGCGAAAGCTCGCTTCGAGACCTTTGTCATCCTAGTCGAAGCAATCAAGGCAGGTTCGCGAGCTGACGAAACTCGCAGTTGCGGGAGGATTGGCTTCGGTGAAGCTGTACTGCCGTAGATACCTGTGGCATCGTCGTCCAGGGTTTGAGTCTGTTGGGTCGATTCTTCGCTATCTGGAAGAAGCCGAGGACGTTCTGGGGTCTCCATTCGCTCAAACCCGTCCAACAAACCCCCCTTATCTACCTCTTCATCCTCCACTTCGAGAAGGGTTGCGCTGCGTTTGTTGGAATTTGATGGCTCGATCGCTCCAGGATTGTCGATCAAACTGACTTTGCGCCTGGTCGACGCCGCGAAGCCGACTTGTCTATTTGTACAATTTTTGGATCTTGTCGCCTAATCACCATCATGTCAGTATTCCCTTAGACAACCAAATTGTGATTAGCTTACATTGCGTATACTCATCTTATATGCTTTGTAGTTGTAGAAACCTTCCACGGCCGCAATCAGTCTGATCAGTGATTAGCACAAACATTGCCAAATCCAGCACGGTGAATAATTACTTCGAACCTTCGCGTTGAGCGTCCCGAGGGCACAGAAAACCTTTGAGTGTGTCCGGCTCTTGAAGATGATCCCGCTTGCTATCACCCCAATAGGTAGGACCGCATTCCACCAAGAATTCTGACACGGCGATCGTGAATGCCTTTGGATCTGTGACTTTCCTAAGGAAATTGTGGCTATGAGAGTTCAATTGAGTCTCCATGTCGATGATGAAGGCGGTACGCATCTGCTCAGATGAATGTTCTGGCTTGAAGCCTATTTTATCGAAGAAGTGACGGGGGCAGTGATGTGGGACGCAAGGTTTTGGTTTGTAAGACAAGTACCACTTTCTGGGGTCTGTAGTGATCATGGCTGTTGCAAGTTCAATTTCAGGTAGTGTACAACAACGTGGAAAACTTACCTGGAGCTGTAGTTGTATACTCCAAAGTATCTTCTTTGTCGGTTGACGTCGGGTTCATATTTGATAAGTGATCTCGAGGACGAGTAAGAAGGTATCCGTGGTGTGAAGGTGAGTTGGATGATAATGACTTTAATCTCCCGAAGCACTCTCGAGCAATATCAAAAACAGTGATTACGCTCTCACAAGGGAGACGATTTGTTATAACAACCTTAGTTGGAATGAAGGTGGAACAGCTAGAACGGTTCTATTGAGCTCGAGCTTTTACCGCCTTAGTGATCAAAGTGGGGCAGTGATATCTTCGTATTAGTGGAGAGGGAGACGAATGTGAGGAGATGTATGATGTCGATATGTGAGCTAGAAATCACATCATGTCAGCAATGTAGTGAGCTCACAAGCATACGTACAAATACAGAAATGGGAGTCAAGTCACGATAGATTGAGGTCTGTTTTGGGGGACTCACACGGTGAAGGTGAGGAGTCGTGGAATGATGTGTTGGTTGTAGCAGGCCAAGAAGGCATAAGGGAGACAAGAGAACATACAAGAAGCAGAGAGGGTCAAGCAAAGGCCCAAAGGAGTGTCGGTAGTGGTATAAGAAAGAGAAGAAGAAGTATATACCTTTCTGCGTCACTCTAGGATGCATCACTCTGCCACCACTGCGGTGCATCACTCTTGCCACTTCATTGCTATCCACGCCCTGAATCATTATGCATTAATTGGGTATACTGCACGAATGAATAACACGCTAACCACGCCTTGAAAGCTATCCAATGCTTGACTGCTATTTCACCTCGCGCCTAATGCTTCCAATGCTCCCCTCAACTCCTTTACGGCCGTGCTAGCATCCTCAAAGTTCAAAGCCGATATGGCCCATCTCGCATGCTTTTGAGCTTTGAGAATAGCCTCTTCATCGGTCAAATAATTTGCTTGACCACTGACTGGAGGAGGAGCCATTGGGAGTGGCGCCATTTGCCATGGTGGGAGAGCTTGCCTCACAGGTGCACCTGATGCAGGAAGAGGCTTAATGGGAGTCGCAGGCGCTTGTCGAGGGGCTGATGGAGGCTGTTGAGGAAAAAGTGGAGCTGAAGCAGATGGAGGGCCTGGACCATACGATGGCACAGGGGCATAAGAGGGTGGCGAAATGTTGGGTTCATCCATGTTAGGCGGAGGGAAGGAATGCAAGGAATTTGGTGGTTGTGATGGAGGGAATCCAGCAGCTGACGAAGTCGGTGGTAGTAGAGGGGAAGATTCTGGAAGTACCACTGGTGGTGAGCTCGGGTCTTCTGAAGGTGCATCAGGCGAGCTTGATGAAGGAGCTCTTCCATCGGTATCGGGCACTCTGGGAAAGTAGCCACCACCATCAGAGATGGTTCGATCAGTGGTTGACGGATCCAATGGAGATACCTCTGGAGGCGCGGCACTATGGTAATAGTTTTCTGCTGGCTGTTGAGGAGGGGGCTGATAGGCCTGAGCAGGCTGCGGCGGAACAGAAGGCGCTCTCGACGGATGCAACGACTCATCGTAAGTAGACCGTCCTGCCATGTGCCCTTGCAGTCGATCGTGCTCATCAGGAATCTCTACTACAGAGGGTTGACGAGACGCATCCTGATGCTGGCTAGAATCGCCAAGCCCATTTATCATCTGAACATCCGGGTCATTTGGATCGAGAGGCGGTTGTTCAGGTTCTGGGGTTGGATTGGATAAATTTGGGTCCTCGTTCGCTTTGATTGCTTTGGCAATACGAAGAGCATGGTACTTGGCGAATTTAATCTTTGACGCTGTCTCAGCGTCCAGAGGCCCCCATATCTGGCAAAGATCCAAGAATGTTGCAGCTGCCTGGAAAGTGTCTGCGGTCTGTCTCGACGCCTTGCTCGCTTTCATAGCGTTGTCTGCTCTCTGAAAAGTTTCTTGGCCGAATTGCTCAATGTATGCCTGACCAGCCATATCATCCATAATAGCATCGTTATCAGAGAAGTCGGATTTAGTCTGCTCGAGCTTGTCCATGAGGGTCATGGTGTAAGACATGCAGTCTGCGTCTGCCTTGTGCAGTTTCTTGGCCAGAATCTGCTCAACGATCCAATAATTGCACCAGTATGCCACCACAGGTTTGGCCTTTTCCACCTGGCCGGCCCGCTGGGCGAATCGAGCTATGTCTGCTGCCTTCAACGCAGGTGGGATAGTTGCTGCCATCTTCCTTCTGCAGTGAGTTATGAGCTTCAGAATCTTGAGCTATGGCGCTGATCTATTAGGAAGACAAGGCTTTCAGACATAGCTGTTTACTCCGTAACGGGTGCATTGCCCTTCACAAAGTATTAAAGCGTGCAGCACTGACATTGACTCGGATCGCCGATGCACGTAGATAATCCCTGCACGCACTAAGCCCCGCATCTTTATCCGCAGCTAGAGGACAGCTTGCACAATTGGATTGGCAATTTGCTAAACATATAACCAACGTTGACGACGTTACGATTTTCTCTTTACTGTCATTCTTGTCTTCAAAATGTTGCAAAAAGCCTCTCTGGTTGCTTTCTTTATTCTCGCTCTAACGGCATCCTCTAGTGCTGAAGGTCTCTATACCAAGAACTCCGGCGTCCTTCAAGTCGATGGCTCAAGCTACAACAAGCTCGTTGCAAAGTCGAATCAAGTATCGGTAAGATCGAACCGGAGGATTGATCGAGCTGAGAGCTAACGAAGCTTTCAGATCGTAGAGTAAGCCATTCATACCCAAACCAGAAATTCTACCACTAATCCAACCAAGATTTTACGCTCCGTGGTGTGGACACTGCAGGAACCTCAAGCCAGAATATGAGAAAGCCGCGAAGGGCCTCAAAGATCTTGCCCAAGTCGTCGCAGTCAATTGTGACGATGAGGCCAATAAGGCATTCTGTGGAAGCATGGGTGTCCAAGGATTCCCCACCCTCAAGATTGTCAAGCCTTCGAAGAAACCAGGAAAGCCCATAGTGGAAGACTACCAAGGGCCCAGGACGTCAAGTGGCATCGTTGATGCTGTGAAGTCTTCCATACCCAATAATGTCAAGAAGGTCACAGACAAGGGTCTGTCGGCGTTCTTGGAGAGCAACAATGACACAGCCAAGGCCATCCTTTTCAGTAATAAGGGAACAACAAGCGCTTTAACCAAGGTTTTGGCTGCAGAGTATCTCGGAAGCATGAAATTCGCCCAGATCCGGGACAAAGAGACTAAAGCTGTCGAGATGTTCGGAGTCTCCGAATATCCAACGCTCATTGTGTTGCCTGGAGGAACTGAGGAGCCGGCGAAGTTCGAAGGAGCGTACAAAAAGAAGGACATGAAGGACTTCATCAGTCAGTACGCCTCTTCGGACTCGAAGGCTTCTCCAGAGAAACAGAAGCCGATGGGTAAGAAGCCTCAGAAAGCTTCCGAAGAAGAAGCAGCCGAGTCAAAAGAAGCCGCCTCATCTTTCTCCGCGGCATCATCTTCGCATGCTTCCGCCGAAGCTGCAGAAGCAGCAGCTGGAGCTACTTCAGTTACTCTTGAGGACGAAAGTAACCCTACCGAGTCTCCAGACCCAATCGCCTCTCCTGACGCACCAAAGCCAGTATTGGTTCACAATATGCCTGACCCAATTCCAGCTCTCGTCGAAGAGAAGTACCTCCAAGAGAAATGCCTTGGCCCAAAGACATCGACTTGCATACTCGCGCTGTTGCCCAACGTTGGAGACGACGAGGTCCTTTCTGAATCCGCGAGCTCGGCTCTGGCAAGCTTAGCTGAATTGGCGGACAAACACGTGAGACGGGAGAGCAAGCTGTTTCCCTTCTACTCTATTCCTTCTAGGAATACTGCATCCGCTACTATACGTGACGCGTTGAAGCTTGGAGAAGAAAAAGATTTCGAGCTTGTGGCAGTCAATGCGAGGAGGGGATGGTGGAGACGTTACCCGGGCGAGAAATTTGATTTCCATTCGGTAGAGAATTGGGTGGACAACATCAGATTTGGGGAAGGCTCAAAAGAGGTGTTGCCGGAGGCGTTGCTAAGGAAAGAAGAAGAGGAACCAGCAGCCCCGGAGCATGGCGAGTTGTAAAAATATTGAGACATAGTGAAGCACAAAATTCAGTTGTAAACATTCATCGTTTTAAGCCTGTTAAGGCATTGTGATCGAGAAGAATAGCCTAGCGTAAGTCTCGGCTTGGCGCTTGTTGACGCCCTGGAAACAACCTCGGGGTTGTCCAAGTTTCTTTTCATTCTCCACTTTCCAATTCCATGGATCCTCGAGTAGGAACACAACAACCGCAACACTCGTAAAGCTCCCAAATCATCTCTCAGTGTAGCACTTCCTTGAAGAACAAGCCGAAGCTCCTCGATTGCAAGGCTATCGCCACTGCTCTTCCGGAGCCTGTTTCATCAATCCAGAAGCTGGTCCCCCGAAGAGCAGCCTTCCAAGGCCAGGTTTCCCTCCGCGATTGCAAATATTATACATGCTAGCAAGGATGGGCTTCATGCTGGGAAAGAGACAAACAAACACCGACGGTTTCGTTAACAATGACAATGACGACGATGACACGTGGGGCTATTCTACTGTGAGCACCGGTAGCCACTCCTGTAAGAAATGTGTGGCTTACACTGGTACAGACAGGAGTAGCCATCAAATGGGCCGTCGTTGGCGCTCTTCTCATACTACTCGTACTATGGCTTGTCTTGGGACGCATGCACGCTCAACGAAGGATGAGGCGAGGTCAGCGTCCGTTGATATACCACAGAGTATGTCTCTACGAACCTCTCACATTCTACATGCTGAGTTTCTACAGATTCTGGTCCCCAGACCTCAAGGCGCTCGTTTCTATCCACAACCTCGGTATGCTTCCCACGGACCTGGCTGGGGCGGTGAAGGTTATCAAATGCAAGCGTATCCTCCTCCAGGTGAGATATAAAGTCTTTGATTCACAGGAATGAGGCTGACGGCATAGCCTACAACACCGATCATGTACCACCGCCAGTCTATCAACCTCCGGATGGCGGCTCGAAGACCAATCCTCATCAAGATTGGGCTGCTGTTCCACCTCCTGGTCCGCCACCTGGTCATGAAGCTGGGGAATCCTCGAGGACGGTGGAGACTGTGCCCTTGAATCAAGATGAGGCTGGGCAGGAAAATACTACTGTGCAATCACATGTCCAGACAGAGAACCCAGGGCTGATGTCGAGGTTGAACCCGTTCAAATGATTATTTCTTGCGGGGATCGTGCATCTGGGAAATGCACGACGGGGGCCCATAGTCTACTTCGCGTGTCAAGTCCTTTCGGGATAAGCAGCAGCTAAGTGAACAGCGGTATTGGCGTCGTGAGGAGTATCGGCTAAACCATCGGTCTTATGGTGGTGTTCCGGATGTGACTTGCATATATTCCTTAGCACAGTGGGCAGAGGATAGAGACATCAACAACAATCTCGCTTAAAGCTGCAACAGTCAATCTTCCACTGAGGCCATTGACAACAGCCAACCGTGACACCTGGAACATTTTTGCTCACAATCCATTTCTAACGAAACGTTCCGCTACTGCCATCTTCCACGCTTGTGGACATGTCTTCAAATTACACCCACCACCTACACGGCTGCCAGGACTCATCCTCTGCTGCCGTCCTGGAACTTGTCGAACTAATATCGTCAGTCGCGGAAACTGTGAGTGAGCTTCCAGCAAACAGTTCAACAACTGATAGCGCGAGCCACTGCGCCGACTCAGCTGTGCGAATGTTGAGTGACCTGCTGGTCTATGCTGTGGTAGATGACAGCTGTATACGCTCACCAGATGTATAGTAGTCAACCATTCTGACATTTTCACGAACTGATCGTTACGACAGATACAAGTGCATCTCGGGTTCCTGTATGAAAGTGCCCGGAGGGTGTTACAGAGAATCGATCAAAGATTCTGATACACGAAGACTGTTGTCCGAGAATCTGGCCAAGGTTGGTTTCCTTTCTGCCATTAGTTTTTTGCCCCATGTACCGCGTCGCGATTGGAGGACTAGCTTGACAATAATTGATACAGATCAAGGCTCAGCTTAGCCCTTCTAGCTCATTGTTCGATCATGCCTTGCCACCTCTAAGGGTCGCAACACGCCCTACCAAGCCTCGGAAACGTGGGAGCGATGATTCGACTGGTGGCGAGCGCCAGAGTAGTCAGCAGACGAAGAAATCCAAGAGGTCCTGCAAAGGCAAATCCAACAATTACTAGTCCCGAATCTTTTGCAGCTCCTGTTGTGGATAACAAAGGGGAAGCTACCCTGTTGACCGGCCACCCTGAGGTTCGCAATGCTGTACAGGAGATGTTCAGTCGATCAAGTTTTGACTTGTTTATTCTTATATGGACGCAATATCACGAGCTTCGGATCGGAATGCCCAGCTGCGAGGACCCTTCTCCATGGCCGAAGATAATCGTGCTTCCAAAGCTGGAAGAAGAATACACTTGTTACACAAGACTGATGAGCGTGTTGTCAGCACCTGCACATTCACAGACGCTACTTTGCTACCCTTATGTGGTCTGCATTGCTAGGCTCAAACTTGCCCGAGAATATTACAGGCTTTATCCCGAGCACCCGGGCCTAGAAAATAGACTGAGAAGGGCCTTGGGCCCAGCTTCAAAGTATCAAGGGGAACACAACCTACTCAGATCGTACCTCGTGGGAAAATCCAATGAGCAGAGAGACACGGTGCCAACAGCTGTTGGGCAGGAGCGGCTGGAGAACGGTTTGAGAATTGAGCTTGCAAAGGGGATGAGCAATTCTTTCTCGCGGGGGCTTTCGGTCGAGGGATCTTGGTCTTGATTCCAAAAGACTTACAAACCCATCCGTGAGTGATGTACAGCACGACGCATTTGGTATCCAATTGACAATCATTAGGCTGGTTAATCCTCAAGACGACGCGGCCAAAGCGGCTCTTCAAGCTTTTTGCATCAAATATTCGGACTCGATACTTCTATGCCGCCGTATTGAACAATACATGAATTTCGTGGAAAGCGGGCTTCGAGCGACGGACGAATTTCAAGATATCAGCAAGGATCATCGATTGCAGGAGCTCTTCGCTTCTGTCTTAAAAGCAGTATCAAACCTGGGAGACCTTGTCTCGACGTCCGCTGATGAAGGGGAGATGCAGGGGCGTAAGCCAGGGCGACGTATTGAGGGATCTGGTTCCAAATATTCGCCCATCCTTCTTTAGTTTCGCAAATGTACTGAAGGCACCGTTGACAGCGAAGCAGCGTTCACGTATAATCCGTCACCGAGGTGTTGCCCAAGACCTATAGCATCTGCAACCCCTTCCATGATTGGTGACTTTATCTCCAACGACATGGAACCAGATACTCAGCCCATTCGGCCTTCTACCGGCCTTAATCCCATTTACAGAATGAAGTCAAACTCGAGCCAGAGGTGTAAGGCCGCCAGTACTGAGTATGCTACTGTCATGTGTTTGTGATCCAGACACCCGGTCAGTGCTCCACTTCTTGTTACTTCATGCGTTGCCCCTACATAGGAGACCGAAGTACCTGAGAGAAAAAAGGTTTTTGTTGTAACTATAGTCACCTGAGCTTGCCTTAGCTGGATACGCATTGTAAATTTTGTAGATGTGAGAGGTTTCGCCTTCTACTCCGGCTTCCAGGACTGCAGCCGGCCATCAAACATTCACTCCAGGCAAGCTGTCGAAAAAGTGGCAGTCTGAGGCGCCGAAAACCATCATTCTGATGTCGGTTTTGGGTAATAGGTCGAACATGCCTCCGGAAGCGATGATACTGGTCTGGTCGAAGCATGACGATTCGTACTCGGTCCAATTGCCCTTGTTGCTGACAACGGGCTTGACTTCTCCTTCTCTTGTGTGTCTAGCCAAGGTCGTAACTTGTATCAGTCTTGCTTAAAACTTGCTTTCTCGACACATTTATTCATTAATTGTTCCTTAGATATCCCTCTAATCAGCTTTTACGAAAGAAATCACGGACCACCAGCAGAACTCCCACTTTGAATAGCATATTCACGTCACCTAACCCAATACGGTCGAAGGCTTGCATACCCTTTCGTCAGCTGCCCCAGCCTCTCATCAGCCATGTCCGAAGCGAGCAACACCGCTGTAGGTCTCATGTCCTTACCCCGGAAAGCCCGAGACCAAACATACGACACAATCCTCACAGATAAACATCTAGCCGATATAGTCTTCCGGAATGGATGATGACGTGGGCGGCATTCACGCCGGTTGCAAAATGGAACTTTGTTCAAATCTCCAGCAAACGTGTCTTGGGCTAGCGCGGCATATTAGACTGCGCGTCCGCTCTTTTCGTTCGTTCAATGACACTGCCGAAGTCTGGTGCATCATTGTAGACTGGGTTATGAAATTATATAAAATGGAAAGGGGAGCGAAACTCTCGTACGCCCATGAAAGACTGGCACTCAGGCGACCTTTTCATGGATGCAGTTGGCGCAGTGTCTGAAGCACTGAACACCTCCACATTTTGCCAATAAAATCTGCCTTCGGAAAATTTCCAATTCGAAGATCGAAGTTTGTTCTGCGAAAGTGAATCACTAATTGTCCTTCCGCAAAGTCACATTCCAGCTGAGGGTTATTAGGAGTAATAGCATTGATTTCGTTGCCAAATTATCCAAGATCCATAGCGTCTTCATCCTCTTCAATACCCATGACCTGATCCGCAGTAACATGTCCCATGTTGCTCAGCCCATTCGGCTTCCCATTCCTGTCACATATATCGACATGTCTTGGAGGAGCCGCCTCAGCCTCAGCACCATGCAACTGCTTCTTCCTCGCCCTCGCTCTACTCTCGATGATAGCCTTCCTGACCTTATCCTGCTCTTCAGGTACCGACAGAGACGATGGTACGCTGTACAACACCATTTCATTGCCAGTAGAAGGGTGCCCTTCTCCCAATAGCACCGACTTTGGGATCTTGCCTACCATGTCCAGCTTCTTCTCGATGTCCGGCAGAAAGACTAGCTTTTCCTCCTCTGATTCTATGTCTGCAAGCTCTTCGTCTAGGTTGTGGATATAGACCCTGTCTTTGTATCGTCGAGTTGCATTGACT